CCTGGCTGGGTAGCAGTGGGGCTTCTTATCATAAAATAGGCCGGGAGGACATCGATCACCATTGAGTGTCCACTATGCTGATGGAATGGGGCCACGAGGACAGAGTAGGTCCCTGGTGTCACAAGGCACTCACCCCCCTCTTGTCCCAGGCTTGCTCCTGGAGAGAGGGGGTGGGCTCAGAAAGTGCCTTGAGCTACCACGTGGTGGCCTTCTGGTCGGTGAATTGCACCTGGGAGAGGTCCTTTGTCTGTCTCCTGCTTCCTCTTCCCTCCCTGAGCTTCTCCTTCTCAGATCCTCCTCATGGACGATCCTCCCCATGGATCTGCTCCTTTCCTTCGTATCCGGTGGCACGGGCCCCGCGCTGCGCGGCTGCTGTCATCCCAGCCGGCCTTGCTCTCGAGGCCGGCAGAGAGGCATCAGAGGTGCAGGAAGCTCAGATAAGGGTGAGCTAATCGGCCTCTTATTGCTTTTATGGCCCTTTTACTGTCTGGGGAGTCCCCAGAAGGAGTGTTTGCTTACAGGCAGAAGTGGACTTCCAGCCGGGAAACAGCTGGGAGAGGCTGCTCCCAGCGTGGGTGCAGGGTGGGTCAGTGGCCTTGGCAGGAAGGGCAGGGAGGGAGGAGGCATCCAGCCTCATTTCTTGCCATGCCTCCTCTCCCCTTGCCTGGGAGGCCCCTTCCTCCGCATCTGCCTAGGGAATGCAAGCAGAGCTGGTGTCAGAGCAAGGCCTGCGGGCACACCACAGCTCTGTCACTTGCTGGCCAGGTGACTTGGAGTGAGGTACTTGCCAATCCCAAACCTCACTTTCCCCAACTGTGAAATGGTCATAATAAGACATGCACTTGTCCTCAAGCATTTGACATCCCCAGGCCCAGAGTAGATACCAGCGAAGTGCAGGGCGGGGATGGGAGGAGGGGTGGTCTCCCATAAGCCTAGGGAGACCTGTCCACCCACAGGCACCGGCCCCCACCCTCCCCTGGGGCTCCCAGTCTCTGCTGGCCTCAGCGACGTGTGTGGGGGCGCTCAGTGCTTTACCAGCATTCGCTCAGTTAATGAGTGTGACCCCCACTCCCCAGCCCAGAAAGCCAGGGCCTGGGCTGTCTGCTCAATGGAAATGAGCCCACATTAACTTCTTCAGTAGAGCAGGTGGCTTAGACCTGCATTGTCTCGTATGGTGGCCACAAGCCACATTTCAAATTAAATTAGTTAAATTTAAAAATTATCCCTGGCTGTTGTGGCTCAGTGGTTGAGTGTCGACCTAGGAACCAATAATAGGTCATGGTTTGATTCCTGGTCAAGGCACATGCCCGCGTTGTGGGTTTGAATCACAATAGGAGTGGTGCAAGAGGCAGCCAATGGATGATGTTCTCTCTCATCGATGTTTCTATCTCTCTATCCCTCTCCTTCTTCTCTCTCTAAAAAGCAATGAAAACATATTTAAAAAAATTAAAAGTTAAGTTCACCATGTTATTGATAATGTGCAGCCAAGAGGCTCATGTTTTCAGCCCCACCTGGCTTGTGGGGTGTCCTAAAGTATTTCCCAAGCCCTTCTGATGCTGCCCAATCTCACCCCAAAATACCTACCAACCCTGCTCTCTCTTGATGCCACCTGTAGGGTTTACCCCCGGCCTTCTCAGCTCTTCTCTAGTTGAACTGCACTGCCGGCCTGAGAGCTGGGTAGTATGACTCATGTCCAGTGTTTTTGTTGTAGCGTCTTTGCCATAAGCACATAGCCAATTGACTAAAGGCAATTTTGCCATAAAGGGGATAATATCATGACAAATAAGAGCGACATTAAAAACGAGTAACAGAATTAGAAAGGCCACTGTGTGCCCTGGCTGGTGTTGCTCAGTTGGTGGGTGCCGTCCCGTGCACCAAAAGGTTGCTGGTTCAATTAGGGCACATGTCCAATCCCGAACCTCACTTTCCCCATCTGTGAAATGGTCATAATAAGACATGACCATTTCACAGATGGGGAAATGGTCTTGTCTTATTATTGTGGGCTTGATCTCCAGTAGGGCGTGTGCAGGAGCAGCTGATTGATGTTCTGCTCTGACATCGATTTCTCTCTCTCTCTCTCTTCATCCCTCCTCTTTCTCTGTCTAAAAATCAACAAAAATATAAAAAAAAAGGTTACTATGAAATGTAAAATAGTTGAATGCATTTAAAACGTGTTTAGATCTATGGCCATCCTGTGCAAACAACTGACTTTATTTTGTGGGCTGTATTTAGGCACTTGTCTTCCTTCCATGGGAAACGTGTGGGTTCACCTTGCCCCCCCTCAAGGAGAGCCCTCGGCCTCTCTTCCTCCTCCCAATGTAGTGTGTTTCTAAATAAACAACCAACTCCCTGGTACAGCGTCATCGGGAAGAAATGCTGCCTATTTTCAGATCACCCTGCTTAACTGTTTTCTCCACCAGTTTGTCGACGGAGAAATAAAGCCAGACTGACAGCCAAGCTGATGACACAAAGCGACAACAAACCAAACTTACGCCTTTTTATGGCAACCTTGCCTTCCGGCCCCTTAGTTACGCGGTGAAAATGTTCGTGGCAAAATGTCTAGCACGGAAGTACCAAGAACCATGACAATTTATTTTAGATGAAGACTGGAACTAGTCTAAAAGAAAAGGTGATGGCTAAATGGTCTAGCAAGGCCGGGGGCCTAGATCCCAGCGAATCTGTGATGTCAGTGAATATTTAAGTGCAAATTCCCCACCTCCGAGGGGTCTGGCTGAATGAGCACAGACTGTGCAGGCAGGCAGCCTGGGCATTAGACCCCAGGCCCCTGTGATGCACCCAGTGATGGTGGGTAAGCCATTAAGTCTCGATGGGCCTCAGTTTCCCCATCTGTAGCCCAAGGATGATAATATCGACCTCATCTGCCCTCCTGTGAAATGAGTGGCATCTCACAGGTGCATCATCATGGTCATGAATGGTCACCGTTAGTAGATCCATGCAGACTTTCAAGTGAATCCTGCCAAACTCTCATGTTGACTCAGGCTGGATCCGTTTGGTCTGTCTGGGCATTTTGGAGTGGCTGGATCCAGCACTTCAAGACAACTCTTGTGTGAGCAGTTGGTGGCTCAGGGAAGCAGTTGGCAAGGATGGGGGCTCAGGTGGCTCCTTTCATTCCAGCACCCCTTACTGGTGCCGACCAGTCCCTTGCCCTCTTGGCATTGACTTCCTGTTGGGGGAAAGTCTTACCCCAGGACTGTGTCCCTCGCCTCAGGGCGACACTGCTGACTTCTGGCAGTGAGCTTTGAGCTGAGACTAGCTGGTGACGTAGACCTGTGTTGTCCTATACAGTGGGCCACTGGTCACACATAACTGCTGAAAATATTGTAAAACTAATTCCCTTGGTCACATTAGTGCCATCGGCCACATTCTGAGTGCTCAGTAGCCACATGAAGCTCACGGACAGCACAGACTAGAGTAGTGGTGGGCAAACTGCGGCTCCCGAGCCACACGGTTCACCGCTCTGTTGACTAATGAGTTTGCCGACCACGGACCTAGACTCTCGATTCCAATAATTATAGGCTGTTGTTGTTCCTTGTGATTAAGCCCCTGTCCCAGTGGTTGGCAAACTCATTAGTCAACAGAGTCAGTTTGCTGACCATGGACTAGAGTGTTTTCATTCTCACAGCTGTCCGGGTCTGTTATCTGCGACACGGTCTTAAGAACCCAGCTTTGGCAAGCAGGCTCCCCTGTCTGGGTCTGCCCCTCACGGGCAGCATGATCTTGGGCAGGCTCCTCTGCCTGCTGCCTGCAGAGCTGGGAGGGAGAAGGCAAAGGCCCCCTCCCAGGAAGGCCTTGCTCATTTCCCTTCCTCTTCCTCCTAGTACTGTCCTGGTCTTCACCTCCCCACCTGTCCTCGACTGAGTACCAAGAAGTGTAAGAAAATTCTTGGCAGCAGTGGCTGCTGTCTTGGGCAGTTGGAGGCCTCTCCCTTCTGGAATGGCAGATGTGGACTTTGTCTTTTGAGAAAAAAACAAAACAAAACACAACAACACAAACAACTTACCCTTGAAGGTTCCGGCCTTAAGAAAGGTTGTGATGGAAGCACCTGGAGTTGGTTGCACACCCCCTCACCCTGTTTTCCTGTCCCAAACTTCCTCCGTGACTGCGGGACCTTTGCCCAAACTACGGAACCATCCCCTCAACTCCAGACTTGATCCAGATTCTGCCTGTTTTTCTACTCCTGTCCTTTCTTTGGTCCGGGGTCCCGTCCAAGGTCCCAGGTTGGACGTAGCTGTCACCAGCCTGCACTGGTCTGTGACAGTTTCTCAGTCTTCTCTTGGCTTTTATGATCCTGACAGCGTTGAGGCGTGACGGGCAGGCATCCCGTAGCCTGTCCCCCGGTCTGGGTCCGTCTGGCATTTTTCTCCTGGTGGGATGGGGTGATGGAGTTGGGTAAGAGGACTGTAGAGGCAGGTGCCCTTCTCGTGTGTGTCATGTCCTGTCAGGGGTGCATGATGTCGGAGTGACGGCCCGGGGACGGTCACGTGCTCCCTTGGTTCGGATGGGCTCTGCCGCTTCTCCACCCCTCCCCTTGGCGTGCCTGCTCCCGGGAAGCGGGTGTCTGAGTCCAGCCCATCCTCAGCTCTGCCTCTCAGGCCTGGGATGTGAGACAAGTCCTCCTTTCTCCCAGGAGGTGGTCCCCGGCCCGGGCCTCCAGCTCCAGGTGGGAGAACAACGGGGAGAGGGAGGGCCCCCCTGTGCCTGCACTGGAGGGAAGACGGGTGCCCATCCTGGGGAGCACTGTGATCTTCATGCTCTTAAAGCAGCAGGCTGCCTTTTAGAGGCGAGGAAGGGGCTTGTCCCAGCTCTCCAGCCTCCAGACTGATGGCTGTGGGGGCCAGAGCTCCTGTCAGCCCCCTGCCCCTCTGTGCCCTGCTGTTTGGTGAGGGGCTGCTGGAGGCTTCCAGAGCCCCTTTCTGTCTCTGCTGCATCAGCTCTGACCCCTGCCCTGTAGCTCTCTGGCACTGTGTCTTGGCCCGCAGGGTGCCGGCTGTGGTGAGCAATGGCGATGCCGTGGACACAGCTTTGTCCGGGGTCCGGCGCTCCAGCTGGAAGCGGAAGAGCTCCCGTCGAAGTAAGTCCCCCACCCCCCAACTCAGGTCTTAGTCCCCCCCCCCCCCACCCCAACCATACAGGGGTGGTGCCAGGATAACCTGAGTCCCCTCCTCTAAGCCCAGAGAGCTGATAGGGGGTAGGAGTCGGGGCTCTGGGAGCTGAGTGGTCGTCCTTCCTGGCTGGGTTGCCGTGGGCTGGGTGGCAGTCCTGGGGTGGACTGGACACTGTCCACGCTTGGCAGTTGCCCCCATTTGCCCAGAGAGCCCCAGTCCAGGAGTGACCACACATTCGCCGTTCGTTGGCTCCTCACGTGCTTCCGAGCAGTGGGTGGGGGTCCCCGCCACCAAGACGAGGTTCCTCTGGGAGCAGAGCCAGACTCTCAGGCAGGCGGCTCCCACGAAGAGGGCAGGTGGCAGAGTGGGACAGCCCCTGTGTCCCTGAGCCAGGGAGCCAGGCGTGGGGTCAGGGGAAGAGTGTCCAGCTTGTGCAGGAGCCGGAGGGAGCAGTGAGCTCGGAGTGATGGATGGAGCGCCCCATCGGCGGGGCAGCCGGGCGAGGGGAGGCTGCCGCCTCCCCGGCTCCTCCTGGGCCTCAGGGGCCACACTTTTCCGAAGGCAACGGGGAGCCAGGAGAGGCTGGTGATGCGGCCGCGTTTGCATTTCATTCCTCCCCTGGGGGGTGGGGGTGTAGCTAGGAGACAGGAGACAGAGTGGGGTGGGCTGGACCCCTGAGGAGACTGGGAAGGGGGAGGAGGAGCCCGGAGCTGGGGACCTGGACAGAGGCGGCCAGGTCTGAAGCCACCGGGAGGCAGAGTCTGTGGGGGGAAGGCAAGGAGGTCGAAATGAGGCTCTGACAGGGTCTGGGCCCCCGGGGCAGCTGGAGGCATCACAGTTAGGATGGCGAGGCCTCAGAGGCCCCAGGCCTTCCCAGAGGGCTGTGGGGCAAGGACAGTCACCCGTCAGGCGTGGCGACTGTCTTTCGAAACCCTTGCTCTGCAGGGGCCCTGTGCCCCTAAGGAGGGCAGAGAGCGGGCACAGTTTTGGGGAAAGACCTCATTACATTTTGCATCTACTGGGCTACTGTCATGGGCGGGGGGCACGCCCTGCCCTGCTCACAGACCTCCCAGTGCCTTGCTTGGGGACTAAGCTCTGTCTCATGTGTGCTCATTTGCTGAAAGCTTCACCAGTCAGGACTCTGCTGGCTGGGTTTTGGGGGAACTCTTCTTAATCCCACTCTCCAGGTGCACCCCCCTCCCCTATTTCCACTTCTCACTAGGGCTGGTTGGCCCTCCCTGCCTCTGGGTGGGAGGTGGGGGTAGCACTGGGGGCCTGGGTCGCTGAAAATGTGCCCTGGGTGCTGGGTCTGCTCCCTGCTCCCTGCTCGCTGCAGGTGCCCTCAGCCAGGGGGGCAGTCTGTGGGTGGCAGGGGGCAGGGGGGTCTGGGAGAGGTGGGGGTGGAGGGGTAGAGAGAAGAGGCGGGACAGTGTCCTCTGAGAGCGGCGGGCAGGGGCTCCCTGGGGCCCCGGCTGCCCGGCGCTGATGCTGGCGGGGGAGCTGCCAGCTGGTGCAGCTGATGTCAGTCTGGCAGCCGCCTCCGCCCGGGCCGCCCCAGCCTGACTCCCGCTCTGTCCTCTCCTTCTTCACGCCCAGTCGACCGGTTCACCTTCCCCGCCCTGGACGAGGATGTGATTTATGACGACGTCCCGTGTGAGAGCTTGGATGCCCACCAGCCCGGTAGGCCCTTTCCTGCTTCCCTGCTTCTCTGGGGCTGCGTGGGAGGGGCGGGGACTGGGGACCGTCTGTCTTCTCCTTCCATTTCCATCCCTCCTCACCCAGCCAACGGCCCCTCCTTCCTGCTTTTAAAAACCACTGGAGTCATCCGGGCAGAGTGGGAGATGGCTGAGGGTGGGGCCGGGCTGGGGCGGGGCTGGGCTAGGGCCTCTTGGCAGGATCGCTCTGGCTAAAGGGTCTCGGGCCAGTTATTTCTCCTCTCCAATCCTCGATTCCTCCCTTAGGACAATGGGGGACAGTCTGGGCCTGCAGGGAAAGTGACAGCTTGTTACGCTGAACGGGGAAGCGGAGAAAGCTGGGGAGCCTGTGCCCTGCTCTGTAGCAAGGCCCTCAGTGGCCCGGAGGGCAGGGAGATTGTGGCCTCAGACAGCGGGGCGGGGTGGGGTGGGGTGGGGTGGGTCCTGCTGGAGCTGGACCCAACTTTCTCACCCAGGGGGAGGGTTGTTTATGATCACCATCTTTGCTTGAACACATGAGGCCAGTGACTCTCACGTTTGACTCTGCTTTGAGACTTTGATTTGGGCATATTATGTCCTCATCCTACAAAGAAATTGCAGGGGCAGGGCTGGGGTTTGAACCCTGGTCATTCTGACTTCCAGTCCAGTGCTCTGTCCCCTCCCCCAGGAGGACTTGGGCAGTGTCTGCTGCCAGATGACTCTCACTATTCAATCAACCTCACGAGGTCAGCAGGGCCAGGCTATGGCTCCAGTTGAGTTGCATCAGAGAGGTTAAGCCACCAGCCCCAGATCACACAGCCAAGATTTTATGGATATCTGCCTGACCCTTGCCTGTTCTTTTTTAAATTTTTGTTTATTGATTTTTTTTTTTCTTTTTGGAGAGAGAGAGAGAGAAAGGGAGAGGCACAGAGAAAGAATCAAACCCGCAACCTTGACATATTGGGATGACACTTCAACCAACTGAGCCACCCAGCCAGGGCCTGACCCTTGCTTTTACTTTTTTTTTTCTTTTAAAAAATATATTTTTATTGATTTCAGAGAGGAAGGGAGAGGGAGGGAGGGAGGGAGGGAGAGAGAGAGAGAGAGAGAGAGAGAGAGAGAGAGAGAGAGAGAGAGAAACATCAATGATGAGAGAGAATCACAGATTGGCTGCCTCTTACACATCCCCCACTGGGGATCCAGCCCGCAACCCGGCCATGTACCCTGACCAGGATTCGAACCATGAACTTCAAGTTCTAGGTCGACTCTCAACCACTGAGCCTCTCTGGCTGGGCTGACTCTTGCTTCTTGCTATTACCCCATTCTACCGAGGTGCAGGCCACCCACACTAGTGGACTCTCAGCCCTGGGTTCCGGTCTCGGCTCTGCCATTGATCAGGGCCCAGGGATCTGGGCCTTTGGGCCAGAAACATTTTATTTATGTTTCTTCATATAAAATCAGACCGTCATCCTGACCTCACAGGACTTTGGGGAGGGTCACAGCAGAGGACTTCTGCTTCATCTCTCGGGGCCTCAGTCGATGCATCTGTCAAGTGGGGGCAGGACAGCTGGGTGCTTGGTGAGGGTGCCAACAGAGAGACACGGAGCGCTGAGCGGTGGCCTGAACGCTTTGGGAAGGGCTGTGATCTTGAGCACCAGCGAAGCCTGAGGCCCCAGGAAGCGGAGGGCGGGGACAGGACGAGAGCTGCTGGGAGGTCCCCGAGGCCGAGGGTTTGGCACAGGCCCAGGAATCTGGTGGCACGGCGTCCCCTGGAGGAGCGTTTCGAGATGAGCCCAGGATGGGGGGGCTTCCTTACAAAGCGGTGAATGGATGGGGCCCGCCCAGCCCGGGAGTCTGCGGCCCCTCCCGTTCACTGCCTGACCTCGGACAAGTCATCTGTGAATGGAGAGGCGATGACTTGCCACCTGCTGACCTGCAGGGCTGCTGGGAAAATTCATGGGGAGCTGGTGGCCCCTGGGAGGTGGGGAGGGAGATATATGGCGTGCCATCCTGGTTCTTCCTCGGGGGCAGCCCCAAGCATTGGTGGGGCCCGCACTGCAGTAATAGGACAATCCACCCAGCCTCACTGGAAAGGTCACCGCCTCGTCACCAGCTGCTCCACTCCCTGAAAACATTAGTCACTATTAATCTTTTGCTTAAAAATACCCTCATGCTCCTGCCTGATCCTGGGGCCCTAGTTTCCAGCTAAGCCTCAGTGCGCCGTTTGGTTCTTTGGCTGCCAACCTTCCAGGCCCCCGCCCCCCGCTTTCCCGAGCGGTGCAGGTGCGGGCTCGAGGTCAGTGCGATAACACAGAGCCCACCTACGGCCCCCACCGGGAAGGATCCGGAGCTCCCTGCTAGAGCGTTCCGTACATATTTTATTTATTCCACCTCCTGCTTATTACCGCCCCGTCTTACAGAGAGGCCTCCGGAGACCAGCACTGCCCTCCCCAGCACACGTGCTTTGTGAGCAGATTAAGCCCCTTCCCGGTGCCGGGTTTTCCCCGTGTTGACAACAGCCTTTTCATCTGCCAGCATTTTTGGCCTGGCCTCACTTTTGTGAGGTTTGCAGTTCAGTTCTTCGGGTTACTGACCCGGAAGCGAAGCCCCGAAGGGTGAAAGGGAAGCCCATGGTCTCGCAGTGGCGGAGCTGGGGCTGTACGGGGACCCGTGTTCCAGTCCCAGGACAGTCTATGAGCACATCTCACACCCATGTGACAGAGACCCCAAGAGTGCCCAGGCCCTGGTGGCACCGCCTCTCTAGGCTAGTGGACTCTCTGGTCTTTGTCCCCAAGTTTTCGGTTCAAGGCATTTTCTGTGGGGCCTTGAAGAAAAGGGACCACTCCTGGACATTGGAGCAGGTGCACCCCCTACTGGACCATTGAGGGAAAGAGGCTTGGTGTGAAGGATCCTGGCTCATGGAATGCTGGACCATCTCGGCTTACTCCCAGGATGCTGAGGCCAGGGCTGAGGGCCCCAGTCAGGACTTGCTCCTCCATCTCCTCTTTTCTTTCTTTCTTTCTTCTTCTTCTTTTTTTTAATCCTGACCTGAGGATATTTTCCCATTGAATTATAGAGAGAGTGGAAGAGAGAGGGAAAGACAGAGGGAAATATCGATGTGAGAGAAACACATCGATTGGTTGCCTCCTGCATGAGCCCTGACCAGGGCCTGGGCTGGGGAGGAGCTTGCCACCGAAGTACGAGTCCTTGATTGGAATCGAACCCGGGACCCTTCAGTCCTCAGGCCGACGCTTTGTCTACTGACCCAAATCGGCCAGGGCCACCTTATCTTTTCTACAAAAAAATGCCTCTGAGGCCTGGGATGAGCACCGAGACCCCAGAAAAGTAATGCTGACAATGACAGGAAATCAGAGAGCCTGTCTGGTGCTGGACACATTTCTTGGGCCTTTGTACGCTTTCTCGTGTCCGCTTCTCTTGACCCAGTGGCGGTTGTGTTGTTCTCACTTCTGTTGTATGGACAAGCAAGTGGAGGCGGAGCTCCAGGACCAGATGATATGCACCCATACTCCCCCCCCCCCCCCCCATGCACCAGGGCTCAGAAGTGGGGTCTGGTGGGCGTGGCCTTGGGCCTCCGCTCACCACTCACCAGCTTGCGCCTTGGCCAGCAGGGGCGGAGAGGAGCCTGCTGTACGAGGATGTGCGCCGGGACGGGGCGCCCAGGGAGGCCGAGGACCTAGGCTGGAGCTCCAGCGAGTTTGAGAGCTACAGCGAGGACTCCGAGGAGGAGGCCAAGCCGGAGGCAGAGCCTGCCAGGCCCCGTGTGTCCTTCCAGCCCAAGGTGAGCAGGCGGGGGCGTCTCTCAGGCTCCTGGGACCCCCTTGGGGAGGGAAACGATGTGGGTGGTGAGAGCCAGGCCTGAGACTCATAGCTAAACAGTGATTCCCAGGAACGTGTGAGGCGGGAGGGGCCCTAGAACAGAAGCTGACCTGCGGGCCTTGATGTTTGGCGGTGGAGAGCCCTGAACCGGGGGTGGGCGTGGCTCATCCCTGGCACAGATGTTCTCTGCCCGGTGTCCATGGCAGATCCTGGCGTTGATCAGGATGCTCCTGGGCTCAGGTCTGGTTTCAGAATCTGGTAGTCTGCCTGGAACGGGGTGCATCCAGCTGATCTCAGGGAAGGAGCAGAGGCCGAGAGGAGGGTGGCTTGCCTGGCCCCCCTCTCCTGGGACAGTCTCACTGCTCCCATTCATTCTATGGACGCTTCCCGAAGGCAGACCCAGGCCTGGCTGAGATTTGGGATTTCGTGGGAGCAGCTTCTTACTGACGGACCCGAGGTGACTGGGTTCCTCTCAGGCTTCTTCCGAAAAGACACACACAGGCAGGCACGGGCAGCCTGGAGGCGGGGCAGGGACAAGGCAGGGGGCCTCGATCTGGGCTGGGATTGGGGGGGCCTCCAAGTTTTCCCTTGTGCTTCCTGCCCCTTTCTAAGTGTGGGGATCCCCTCAGACAAGGCTCCCCCAAGTCCTCAGAAAGCCTGGGAGCGAGCAGTGGCCTTGACATGCTGCCAGCAAAACAGTTGGGCATCTGTGACACCTACTGTGTGCTTAGGCCACATCTTAGGGTGTGGGCTGGGGTACACGGGAACAGGAAGATCCACCCAGGCTCCGGGAACCTTTGAGGTTTAGGAGGAGATACCGAATATGGGACAATTTGTCAAGAATGAAGACAAAATGGCGTTCTGTAACCGTGAGCCCTGCCATCTATGGTGCCTGCCTGACACGGCGGGATCTGGGGGGGTGGTCAGGGGGCGCCCAGGAGAGAGGAGCTGGGAGCTGGGGTGCAGCAGCCGGAGGAGATGGAAAGGTGGCTTGGGCTAAAGGGGTGGCCTGGCGGAGGCCAGGAACAGGCTGTTCCTGCTTCTGTCCTCAAAGGAGCAGCATGCACCACTTAAGAGAGAGAGGGGCTTCCGTTATGAAGCCACCACGCCCCCTGGGCAGCCTCTCTGTAGGAGGGTGGGATGTGCACATCTCAGCCGGCTCCTGGTCGTGGGAGCAAGTGGCCTTGATGCCTAGGCCAGCCATTTTCTCAGCCTCTGGCTGCCCCTCCTCATCCCCCCAGCCATGTCCCCAGCCCTGCCTTCTTGCTGGGGCCTGGGAGGGTACCGTAGGCACCTCTCAGAGGGCAGGAGGCATGGGGGTGCTGAGTTGGCGCTCTCTGGTGGTGGCCTTCAGACTGGCATGGGCATCGGGATCACGTGGTAGCTGGTTGATCACCTGCTCAGGGACTCTGGCTCAAGGTTCGGGGGTGGCAGGGCAAGCTGCCTTTTAACCAGCGCTCTGCCCCAGGGGATGCCAGGGGCCAGGGAGCACTCTGAGAGTGCGGGGCTGGCCCTCCTCGGGACCTGGCCCCAGGGTTGGGGGTCTCTGGTTGCTGCCTTGAGCTCAGGTCCCCCATACCCTGAGGCTGGGGCTTTGGGCTCTCCTCAGCAGACAATGTTCTTGGAATTTCTAACCATGGGGACTTTTTCTCTGGAGGTGGAGCCAACGCCCTCCTGCTGCCTGAACAGCAGGCTCCCAGGACAGGGGGTTGACGAGGGGCCCTTCCTTCAGCACCCACCTCTGCCGGGGACCCCCTGGCCCTGCCTGCGGTGCTCTGCCCTTGGAGCTTCTCGGACGCACCTGCTCCCTTGCCTGGCGCTGCAGCGGCTGATGCTTCGGGGCCACCGCTGCTTGGCGTGCTGTGTGGCTGCGGGCGCTGGGCAGCAGAGACCAGGAAGGGTTGTGTCCTGTCCTTGGAGACCAGAGGGGCTGGCACCCTGCCCTGCTGCCAGAGAACGAGTGGACTTCCTCCTCCTCTCGTCTCGAGAGGCCGCTCTCGACGGGTGGACTTTTGCCAAAGGAAGTGACCGCAGGGTGTGCAGAGGGACCTGCTTGGAAGCAGCCGGCCCGGGTGTAAGCAGGAGCCGGGTCCTCTTCCGTTAACAGTACCTGCTGGCTGCCTCCCAGCGGCAGGTGTTAATTTTTTCCCCAGTTGTGGAGTGGGCTGCTTGAACTTGGTCACTTTCTGACTGTGACCTCTTCATAATTAAGGTCACTGTGACCCTGTGGTCAGGGGACGGGGCGGAAAAGCAGCTCTGACCTCAGCCTTGTTGGCTCCCCTGCGCGGATCTGGCCGGTTCTGCAGGAGACTTCCGGTCCTGGGTCTTCTGACCCAGGGCATCAGGCCCACGGGGACTTTATGGTTTTACTGTGTCGATCTTATTTGCAGATGGAACAGAACTCAGTACAAACTCCAAGCTCCCCAGTTTAGGGGGGTCTCGGTGACACACAGAAGGATCCCTGTCCGGTTACTTCTTTGTCTAACAATCATGAACGTTTGCCTGGCGTGGTACAGCTTTCCAACAGTTTCATTTTGTTTTCCTAACACCCTAGAGTGGCTGGTATCATGGGCATTAAGAGTCTCATTTTATTCCTCAGAGACCCTAAGTGACCGAAGCTCAGGGAGGTTAGATGACGTGGTCAGGGTCACACAGCCAGCGAGGGGCAGAGCCACACTCATCACATATCATGTGACAAAAAATACTCCATCCATCCATTCATCCATCCATTCATCGATCCATCCATCCATCCATCCATCTATCCTTCTGTCCATCCCACCATCTATCCACCCAGCTATTCAACAGAGGGTGAGCACTTATTTGAATAAGATGAGCGCTTCCACTTTTTGAGGAATCACCAAGCTCTCGCTATAGTAAATGTGTCATCACTGTAATCTCCTCAGCCACTCTGTGACGTGGCTGTGGGGAAGCTGGAACTCAGGTGGGGAGACCTGCCAGTGAGTAAGCGGGGCGGGTGATTTGGGTGCAGGCTCGCCGCCTCCAGAGCTCAGACTCTCGCTCTCCCTGCTTGCCTGCTGCTCTAAAGGACACTCTCTCGGTCTTGTGTGTACTTGGCCCAGTATCGCCCTTGCTTATACACGTCATGCATTTAATGTCTATCTGATCATCTGTCCATCCATCCATCCATCTTCCCAGACAGTGTGTAAGCAGTCACCCATCCATCCTTACATTCAGTCCTCCTTCCCTTTGTCCCTCCCTCCCTTCCTCCCTCTACGTATCCACCCCTTCCTCCCGTGGTGTGCTAGAGCCAGCTTGGCCTTGCTCACAAGAACCAAAGAACCAATTGTGAGTGTCTCTTTCCAAGTTCACATTCAGTGATTCAGGTTGGTAGCTTGAAATGGGTTAGGTAGGAGCATTTACACCACAGGAATGCTACAAAGCTGAGCTCTTCTGCCTGGAGAACTGGTTGTTCATGTTTATCAGCACAGCACTGTGTATCATCCACCAATCCATTCATCCTTTTATTTTTCCATTCATCTTACTGTCTAGTCACCCCTCCATCCATTTGCCCTGCTATGCAGTCACCTAACTAAATTTATCCATTTGCTCACCTATCCATTTATCTCTCCATCCATCTATTCATCCATCCATCCATCCATCCATCCATCCATCATCTATCCATAAGCCTGTCCATCTACCCATCTGCCTGTCTATTTTGCATCCATCTGTCCAACCATCCCTTCATCCATTCACCCATCTTTCTGTGCATCTTTCTATTCATCCACGTATCCCCTCGCCCACCTGTTCCGCCCATCCATCTACCTGCCATCCATCCATCTCACAAAGTTGCCAAGAACCTCTGATGTCACAAGCCCCCTGGGGGGGTGGTGGGGAGATGACAGACACAGTCCTTGTCCTCCCAGCATTGCACCCTTCCCTGAGAGGTGCCTGGGCTACTCCCCTGCCGCCTCTCCTCCCCAGCAGCGGGGTTCCCTGCCGCAGACACCGGCCTGGCTTCCTGACATTTTGGGGTGAAGGGGGTGTAGGGCGATGCTGGAGCCAGTCCAGGCAGGAGGCTGGCTGGACTGCTGCCCGGGCCTTGGCCAAGCCCAGCCCCCCAATCCCGCCTGCTCCGCGTTGTCCATCCGCCACCTTACCTGAGTCTCCTTTTTGTTCTGTTGTCCCTGTTTTGTCTCCTCCCTGTCCCGCCTGTTCCTCTCGCCTGCTCTCCTTCTGCCTGGCCGCTTGGGGGCTCCAGCTTTCTCCAGACCTGACTAGGCTAAAGGAGAGATACACCAGGACTAAGAGAGACATCTTGGCTTTAAGAGTTGGGGGGAGAGACATGCAGGAGCTGAAGCACAAGTACGATTGTAAGGTATTGTTTGTCTGTCCCTCCCACGTCCTGGGCCGCAGAGGGTGGGCCGAGCCCTGGGCTGCCCCCGAGACCGGAACTGGCCATGGGGCGCACCTGGGCAGGAGCTGGTCGGCGCCTCAACGGGCCTGTTTCTTTCCATGCTCTTACCTCTCATTTGCTCCCCACCCTCAAGCGAAGCCTTATCGGTACAGGAAGTCCTGGGCGGGCTTTCAAACTCAGGGCCTTGGAGTTTGAAACGCGCAGATTTCTGAGCTCCGCCCCCCGAAGACTCGGAGTCTGCAAGTCGGGACCAAGGCCTTGCAGTCTGCGTATTTAATAACCATGGTGGGGGCGCGGAGTTGGGTTACATGGACATCTTCCCCGTCCTGTTCAGAGAGATTCAGGGTACCTGCTTCTCAGATGGGACCCAGACCGCTGGATAACGATGCTGCTGACAGCAGTAGCTTCCATTCATTGAGTGACTACCATGTGCTATGGGGGTGGAAGGCCCGAAGGCCTGGGTTTGAATCCCCATCCCACCACTTTCTCTCTGTGTGATCCTGGGCAGGTCTCTTGACCTCTCTGACCTCGGTTTCCTGGCCTGAGAAATGGGGGCATCAGCAATAGCAGCCCCTGGGGTGGATGCAAGTATGAGCTCAGGCCTGTGACGTGCTCGGTGCTGCACTCAGCACAGCCCGGGCGCTCCGTGAATGGTGGCAGTGTGACTATGCCTGCCTTGTCTGTCCCCAGGGCCCCCTGCAGGCAGGTGTTAGTGAGGATGGTGAGAGTCCCACCGGTGTCAGCCTCAGAGCTGGGCTTCACACCTGCACTCTCCAGCCGTGGCACTGTCCCCGTCAGACCCCGAGGCCTCCCAGGGGGAGGAGAAGAGGCACCCTACAGCGTGCGGGCCCTTTTACAGCTGCCCCGAGAGGCTCGGCGCCTGGGGTCGGGCAGGTTGAACTCCTTGGGAAGCCGAGGCCAGAGAGGAGCGGGGAGCACCTGGAGGACGAGAGGCCCCAACCAGCGCTTTTCCCGGCCGGCCTCTGCACCGTGAGGGTGGGTGGGAGTGGCAGGCTGACTCAGGGACCCCTCTGGGGTACCCACCTGCTCTTTCACTGCCCAGGAAAATGCCAACAGGAAGGCTGCAGGTGGTTCCCCCACAGACCACGTGGGGAGTTCCTAGGACAGCCCTGCAGGTGGCGCTCTGCCAGGCCGGGAACTGGGCTCCAGGACAGAGGTTTCCCATCTGAGCGTCTTCATGCAGTTTGGGGTCGACATCTGTCCCTCTTGTTAGTTCTCACAAGAACGTTTATGACCCTCCCACCCAAAGGCCAGGCACTGCCACCCTCGCATTGTCCTGTGGAGGCGAGGAGGGGCTGGGCCGTTCCTCCCCCACCCTCTGCTGGTTGTTTCTAGAAAGCTGGCCTAGTTCCTGAAAAGCGCCACCCTGCCCCCAGCCTCATCCCCTACTGGTTTCCAGCAAGCCTTCCTCTCCCAGACCCCATGGAGCGCCCGCCCCTTCCGCTGGGGCCCCAGGGGGTGTTTGGAGGAAGGAGGTCGGAAGAGCAGAGACCAGGCCCCCCTCGCCCATGAGTGCTCCCAGTTACATCAGAGACTTCAGGAAGGAGAGGGTGTCCTTGGCAGGCACTGCCCGTGATGCTAGCCGAGGGGTTATTTAGATTCAAATGAATGAAAATGAAATAGAGTTTGGGTCCCCAGTCGCACCAGCCACTTTTCCAATGTCCGAAAGTTGCGTGGGGTTAGCGGCTGCCGCGCTGGCAGCACAGAGAGGAAGCATGTCCGTCCCTGTGGAAGCTTCTCTCAGTGGCGCTGGCTGTGCGTCGGAGAAGATGCCAGGGCTGGGCTGGGTGTGGGGGTAAAGAATGAGTTAGGGGACAGCAGCTCTGTTTGCAGGCCAGGGCTCCCCCAGCGCCCAGGGTGCCCGCTTCCCCTCCCAGGCACGCCTCCTCTGTGCCCGCGTTCTGCTTAGCTTGCTATGCTCGGCCCTCCCCGCCCAGGGGAAGCTGCGCCCCGCTCTGTGGCAACTTCAGCCTTCCCCCCTTCCCCGGACTGTGGCTCAGTAAGAAAGCTGGCTGTTTGGGGGCACGGGACGGTTCCTCCCTCGGGTTCTGCAGGTGGGATGGGAGTGTGTACTCACCTCCTTTGGGTGGCCCCTCAAGTAACCCTGAAACCCTGCAGCTTGCTTTTCTGTCCAGCGTGCTGCCCCAGACCTGTCCGCTTGGTCCTCACGGCCCCGGTGAGTCTCAGCGAGAGCCCGAGGCTCCCGGAGGTCAAGACACGTCCAGAGCCATGTTGCTGGGCGTGGAGCCAGGCTAGGACCCCAGGCCTCGAGCCTTCCCCCACGTGTTTCCTCCCCTCGATTTGATGGGAGTGCAGTATGGTTAGTCCCAAAGGGGGAAAATCAAGTTAGGACCTCCCCTTGTCCATAAAGAGGGCTCCCCTAGAGAGATCCTCCTTCTCATCCTGTCCCAGGAGGTCTCCGGCAGTCTCGGGGCGCCCTGCCCCACCGTCCCTCTTGGCCTCTGCTGCCACCTCCCCGGGAGGGAACGGGCCCAGGGGGCTTGATGTTTGTCGTCCTGGCCTGGAGGCCTGGGCGGAGCTGGTGGCCCTTGGTGGCCGGTGGCCCAGGGCCTCCCTCCTCTTCTCTGACGAGTGTCTCTGCCTTTGTCCAGATGACCCAGTTCATGAAGGCTGCCCGGAGCGGGACCAAGGACGGGCTGGAGAAGACCAGGATCGCCGTCCTGCGCAAAGTGTCCTTCCTGCACCGGAAGGACGTCCTCGGTGAGGCCCTGGGCCGGCCTGGGGGAGGGTTGGTGCCCGGCCCTGGGGCAGCCGGACTGGGGGCGAGGTCACTGGTGTCTGGGCTCCTCTGGCGGTGGGTCTTGGGGACTGAACCCCACGTGTCAGGCCGATGTCCCAGCCTATTACCTATTTCTCTTGGAGGCGTGGCCTTCTCTTCCAGGGGAGGTGGGGCCTCTCCCTTTAGCACCCCTGCCCTTGGCCTTGGCCTTGGCCTCGGGCCTCCCGTGCTGTCTAGCTCACCTGGCCTCGCCTTTGAGTTCCGTTGTTCATTCCTTCCTTTATCTCCACCAGCCAGCACTTAGTGAGCACCTACTAAGGGCCATGCCCTAGCGGGGGAGACAGGCCTGCAGACAGGAAATGACAAGACAGGAAATGGCAGGCAGCATGGCGGCATGGTGGGGTGCCTTGGTGCGAGGCGGGGAAGACGGGCATGGGATGTGGGATTGAAGGGACAGGGAAGGGCTGGGAGCAGGAGAGGGAGACCCAGGTCAGTCAGCAGGAGGGTAGGGGAGGGACGGGTGCTCCTGGCTCAGAAAGGAGCCTGTGCAAGGCCGGAAGGCGGGGCATAGATGTCCCAGAAATGATTTTCGTGATAGTTCACATTTATCGAGTATTCGTTGCTTGCCAGGCACTCCTAAGAGCTTTACAGCTCCTCACTTAATCCTAATAAGCACCAGACAGGACAGAGGCCTGCCCCGTTCGCGTTCAGAGAGGGGGGAGCAGGCGCAGCGGGGTTCGGTGACTGGCCTGGGGACCCACAGGCACGGAAGGGATGGAGGAGGCTCCTTCCTCCGGCTGGAGGGAGGGTGGGGGAGAGATGGGGCCAGGCCTGGGCTGTAGGCCAGGGAGACCTGAGGCTCTGCGCCCTCTTTTATTTCACTCTCTGTGCCTCAGTTTACTCATCCGGGCAATGGGCTAAGGTGGCATCTGTCTCAGGGGGCCGTGGTAAGGATGACCAAGGTAGTGCATGGAAAGAGCCTGGCTCAGCGCCCCCGTTCCAGTGTGGTAGGCGTTACTGTCAGTGTGTGTGTGTGTAGGTGTGTGTGTGTGTGTAGGTGTGTGTGGTTGTGTGTGTGTGTGTGTTGGATGGAGGGTGGTGGGGGGTGGCGCTAAGTGGAGTGTCTGGTGTCAGGACCGAATCTCTCTGCCCTGGGTCCAGATCCCAGCTCCGCTGCCTCCTGGCCATGTGACCTGCACAGTTAATCCCAGCAGCGCATACGCTGGGTGCAGCGCTAAACCTGTGCGGGTGCCCCGGCCCCGAGGGGAAGGGGACAGGCCCAAACGTAGTGGAGTGGCCCGGAGAAAGCAGGGGGGACAGGCGCGCTGGCTGGAAGCAGTTCCTGGTCACTGTCCCCACCCCCAGGCCAGCCAGGCCCTCCCTTCCCGGCCAGGGCTTCCTAAAGTGACCCTCCCCGCAGAGCGTTATTAATAGCTGTGGCAGGGCTCGAATCACCGGCCAAGAATGCTGCCCAGCGCCACATGGGGGAAGAGGAAGCCGCAGAGCCGGAGGCTGGGGTGGGTGCGGAGCGGTCGCCCGGGTGCCATGTGGGCCCAGAAGGAGGGCCTTCACCACCCCCACCCCCACCCCCACCCCCACACTGTGGTTCGCTGCCCCTCCTCCTCTTCCGTCTCCTGCTCAGGTAAGGGCCCACCTGCGTGTCCCTGCTCCCGGGAGGCACCGCCACTTCTTTCTTCCCAGTTTCCCCTCGGCGCCCACTTCCTGCTGCCCACGGCCGCTGCCATTGGGTGTCAGAGCCCCGAGCAGCCAGGGTCCCGACTCCCGTGTCCGCATCTCTCTCGTAGGGGCCAGACCTCCAAGGCCAGACCCTTGCCCTCTGCCAGCCTCCCCTTCTCTCTGCCTGAGCCTGTCTCCCTGCCCTCCATCTGAGACCCACGCCCACTCACGCCCACGGTGCCCCGCGGAAACCAGCTGAACTTTTCCCCTTTGGCATCTTCGCATATTTTTTTTGAAAGATGAAAACACGGAGCCAAACCGCTCGCTCTTTGGGGTCTTTCTTCTCCGTTTTGGGCATCCAGAAGAAAACTATTTTTAGTGCCGAATGCTGGGCTCCCAGGCAGCCGGGCCTGGCCAGGCCAGAAGTGGTTGGGTCTGAGCCGGGGCGAGGACTCTGGCGAGTGGATGCTGCTGTGTTTCCACCCTCGCTCATGGTTCTTTGGGGACGGGCTGTGGCAGGGGAGCGTGGCCGAGGATGTGGCCCCTGGGCTCTGACCCTGGGAGGCCCCAGGTGCCGCTCAGTCAGGGTGGCTCCCAGCTCCTGGAGCCAGAGCAGGGCGCGCTGCCCTGGCCTTGCGGTGTCACCAGCCTGTCTGACTTTCCAGGTGACTCGGAGGACGAGGACATGGGGCTCCTGGAGATCAGTGTCACAGACATGAAGCCCACAGCCCCGGAGCTGGGCCCCATGCCTGACGGCCTGAGCCCTCAGCAGGTCTGTGGGAGGAGCGGGGTGGGGTGGGGTGGGTGGGAGTCTTCAGGGGAAGGAAAGTTGGGGTCCCAGCTGATTGCCTGTGGCCACAAGGTCTGCATCTTGAAGGGGAAGTGATGATTGGGGGCTCTTAGCTGAACCCCAACTGGAGCCTCTTGGGTTCTCTTCCCAACCAGCTGCACAGACTTTCCAAACTGGGCACCGAGGGCCCCAAGGATCCCCACATTCTGGTCCCTGGCGGTGGGTCCCCCTTCATACCCCCCTGAATCTGGAGCCTCCCTTCCCTCACCCATGGCTCCGACTTACCTGTTTCAAATGAAGGTGCTGTTTTGACGGAAGGGACCACATTTAAAAGGGCTGAGACACACTGAGCTCCTCTGGCTCCGAGAGGCCTGAGCGAGGGGCCCGGTCCCACCCTCCGTCCACCTGTCGTCAGGCTGGGGTCCGAGTCCCACGGGCTTCCCCTTCGAGCCTGCTCCGAGCCGTGTCTTCCTCCTCCCAGCGTCTCCCAGCGTCACAACGAGTCGGGCGGCTCTGCTCCGAGACCCCGGCTGTCATGTCGGTTCCCCCCCAATCTGGGTTTTCCCAGCCCCGGGGCCAGCGGGAGAGACCTGCTTCCCTCTGGTTGTGAGGACGCTAAGCAAGATGTATTCGGGGCACCAAGCTCAGTGAAGGGGTTTGCCACCTTTTGGGGGTACAGAAAACCCCGATGTCTGGCCTCTTAATCAGGGGCATGGGGCTGCACCTCTCGTCTTGGGAGGCCAGCCGCCTGCTTCCTTTGTTTCTGTGACCCTGGCCCCTGATCGCACTAGGATGGTGACCCCACTTCCCGCCCCAATGCAGGCAGCCACTGTCCCGCTCAGCCCAGGGCCCCCCTTCCTGGTGTCGGCTGGTCGCTCTGCCCAGGAGCCTGCGAGTTCCTGGCTCAGGCAAGATGAGTTACTCTAGGCCAGTGGTCGACAAATTGCGGCTCTCGAGCCACGGTTTGCCGCTCTGTTGTCTAATGAGTTTGCTGACCACTGCATAAGGCATTACCCTTACCCAGAAGTTTTGACTTCAGCTTATAGACATTAGTACATTATTAAAGTTTTTTTTTTTTTTAAGTGTTTTTCCCTAAGGCAGTGGTCGGCAAACTCATTAGTCAGCAGAGCAGCAAGTCTCGGCTCTAGAGCCGCATCTGGCTCGCGAGCCGCAGTTTGCCGACCACTGCTCTAGGCCAGTGGCTTTTGACCAAGGTGATTTTGTGACCCGGGGGCCATGGGGCAAGGTCTGCTTGTCCCAACTGGGAGATGCTGCTGGGATCTCGGGGTCACGGCCTGGGATGCCGCTAAGCATCTGACAGTACGCTCCACAGAGTCATCTGGCCTTAACTGTCAGTGCGGTTGAGAACTCTGTTCTGGGAGCAGCTTGGGCACCGGAGGGGGGTGGGGGGTCGTCCAGGGCCCCCTCTCCCCATTTTGCAGACTGGGGAGCACGGGTGTTTCTCTGGGGAGCACAGGTATTTCTCTGGGGTGGGCAGGGGCCCTGGAAGGAAATGCTGGGCCTCCAGGCCCATTGGTCCCAGGGAGGGACGGGTCCCTTAGTTACCAGCTCCTCTGGGCACTGGGCTCCTTTCCCCGTCACCGGGGTTCTGCACACAGTAGGTCTGCTCTGTGCCACGGTTGGGGCAGGCGCTGACCGAGCTCTCGGCCCGAGCAGGTGGTCCGGAGGCACATCCTGGGCTCCATCGTGCAGAGCGAAGGCAGCTACGTGGAGTCTTTGAAGCGGGTCCTTCAGGTACGACTCTGGGGCCCCAGGGAGAGGGGCGGGGCCCGCAGGGACACCTGGCAGGGAGTGTTTGGGGCCTGTGGGCAGTTTTATTTTATTTTTTATTTTATTTTATTTTTATTTATTTTTTTATTTATTTTTAAAAATATATTTTATTGATTTTTGTACAGAGAGGAAGGGAGAGAGATAGAGAGTCAGAAACATCAATGAGAGAGAGTCATCGATCAGCTGCCTCCTGCACACCCCCTACTGGGGATATGCCCACAACCAAGGTACATGCCCTTGATCGGAATCAAACCGGGACCTTTCAGTCCCCAAGCCGACGCTCTATCCATTGAGCCAAACCAGTCCCGGTCCTGTGGGCAGTTTTAAAGGACGGCAGCAAAGGCCAGCTCTTTGATGGGACAGCGGGACCCCAATGGGAGACATTAAGAGTTCCCGATGCCTTGGTGTTCACAGGAGGCCTGTGCTTTCAAACAGACTTGGGGTTCTGTTGAATGAGGGCTGTTCTGGAGGGTCCAGGGCACGGGGTCCCTTCTGTGCCTGAAAGGACCATGTCTTCCTCGCCCGCCTCTCTGGGAGCCCCTGGGACAGGGCCGTGCCTTCCCATAGTCCCAAAGCCCCCACGTTGGGGAAGGGGAGGCACCCTCTCTCGCCATCAGATGCCCAGGGATTGCTCGATGGTCATGTGACTCGATCAAGGTGTAGCCACCCGGTCTGTCGTTGGCATTCCTGAAACGGTGATTCTGCCGGGATGCTGTGGGCTCTCGGAGTGAGGCCAACAGGGGCGGGTGTTGTCGGGGTGGGAGCCACACAGAGGGGCCCGGTCCCCGGACCTCAGGCGGGTGGAGATGAAAACCCCTGTGTGTCTGACAAAGCTGGGGGTCGGGGGGTTCCCCGGGACATCATGGCCTCTGTCCGTCAGACAGACTGGCTCAGGCAGAGCTGAACAGGGGCAGCCCATCCTTGGGAGCTGACACCATGGAGTTCCTTCCAACCCAGCTTAACACAGAAGTTGGGGGCGGGGGAGTGGCTGTGGGTGGGCACAGAGGGGCCAGGAGGGTTACATCATGGAGATTCTTCTAGAAGACAGGCGAGGGGGAGTGAGGGAGACCTGCTCCCTCGACAGGAAGGCCCACGCCTGGCCCGCCGAGCTCTCGTTGGCCTTGGCCTGCTCACCCTCGCCTCCCTGCCCCCCCGCCCGGCAGGACTACCGCAACCCACTGGTGGAGATGGAGCCCAAGGCGCTGAGCCTGCGCAAGTGCCAGGTGGTGTTCTTCCGCGTGAAGGAGATCCTGCACTGCCACTCCATGTTCCAGATCGCCCTGTCCTCCCGCGTGGCCGAGTGGGACGCCACCGAGAAGATCGGCGATCTCTTCGTGGCTTCGGTGGGTGTCCCCAGGCTCTTTCCCCTGGGCCTACCCTCCCAGGAGAAACCACCACCTGTCTGACCTGGTGGCCATTTGGGCCAGCCTCCTGCCTCTGCTGCTCCCCTTGTCCGGGTCAGCTGGTTCACAGGTGGCAGGGCCTGAATCTGCCCTGGGGTCCAAGTGGGGGTAGGCATGACACCTTCCAATGCCCAGGGTGGCCCTGAGATGGCTGCAGGCTTGGTGCTGGGGGCCTCCAGGAGACCAGCCACTGTGGGCAGCCACCAGGGTCTGAAGGTCCCTGGCCGGGCACTCCCGGGTGACCACTGTTTGTGATGCTTAAACATCTACCTTGGCCCCCGGGGAATGTCCCAGGGTGGGGCGGAGGATGGGGGTGGGTGGGTTGGGAGACTCCTCAGCCCTGGATCACACTCCTGATCCTGGCCTGGTCTCTGCTCGGCTTTGCCGTGTCTGGCAGCTCTCGGGCCCTCTCCGACCCAGGTCCCCCCCAGTGGAATGCGGGTGTGTTAGAAATCCCTGGGCTCAGAGAGACTCATGAGCTAAGGAGGGTGACGTCAGTGGAATTCCACTCTGACCCGTCTGAGACATGTGGGTTCTGCTGAAAGAAAAAGGATTGAAAACCCGAGTGCTCAGCAGATCTGACCCCTGGCCAGTGCGTCCCGGGAGTGTGGAGTCAGGAGCAGCACCCGCATGGTGAAGGGCCGGGGGTTTATTTTCTGGGGTGTCACACCTCACCTGTGTGCGGGGCTGCCGTGCCATGGCAGGAGGAGCGCCAGGCTGTCCTTGTTCCCTGCCTCTTCCTCCCTGCGACCTCGGGGTCTCCTCCCCTCAGACTAGGTGAGATCCCCCAGGTGTCATCAGAGCAGCTGAGGTGGGTGTCAGTGAGGGGGGCGGGCGTGACCCTCCCGTGACCCTCCCACGCCTGTTTTAGTTCTCCAAGTCCATGGTGCTCGACGTGTACAGCGACTACGTGAACAACTTCACCAACGCCATGTCCATCATCAAGAAGGCCTGTCTCACCAAGCCCGCCTTCCTGGAGTTCCTCAAGGTGGGCTGGCGGGGGCTGCAGCCCCCTCAATGAGCGCTGGGGGCGGTGGTGGGGGAGGCCTTCTCAGAGGGGGGCTTTGGCCCAGCTTCAGGTGGCATGTTGCTTTGTGGGGGCACGTCTTTCCTTCGGGGCTCCCACAGTCCCATGGGAAGACAGGGGTTCCTCCCGCCCCCCAACAGGAGGGGGATGATGATGAGTGATAGTTAGCCTCTTGTGAGGGTCTCCAGGTATAGCTCAGGGTGTCGCTGGGCTGTCCCTTTTCTTATTATTGAATAAAAAAATATTTTTAAATTGATTTCAGAGAGGAAGGGAGAGGGAGAGAAAGATAGAAACATCAATGATGAGAGACTCATTGATTGGGTGCCCCCTACATACTCCTTCCTAGGGACGGAGCCCACAATCTGGGCATGTGCCCTGACCGGGAATCGGACCACAACCTCTTCCTTATTTGTAAAAGGGCAAGGAGGATTTCTCAAAGGGGTGTCTTGGGGTTCACGTGGGAGATTAGAGGTAAAAGGACCAAAGGCCTCATGTAGCTGTGGCCAGGCTCCCCCAGATTTCTTTGGGTGCTCAGTCAGGCCAGTCAGATGGAGGCCCTGCCTGCAGGGAGCACCCAGTGGAGGGTACAGGTGAGCCAGGAGCCGGGCCTCAGCTGAGGAACCCAGTGCCCTGGTCCAGGAGGGCGTCTGACATGGGTCCTGGGGCTACGCTGAAATTATAGCAGGTGGATATGGAGGAGGGGTGTGACAGGTGCAGGGTGGGGGCAAAGGTCAGAGGCAGGAGGATGTGGTTAGGTGAGTGCATCTGGTTGGATCCCGGGAGCACTGTTGCCAAGGAGTCTGGGAGAGGAGGCCCAGAGGCAGCTGCGCCCTATGTGGGCGGCCCTAGACCTGTAGGACAGTGTGCTTCAGGCAGTGGGAGCTGCTACGGAGTTTTGGGCCGGGCAGAGGGACATGGAGGCCAGTGGAGAGGCTGTGGCAGCAGCCTGGGTTACCAGGAAAGAGGGCCAGGATCTAGGTGACAGGTGTGTGGATGGAGTGGCAGGAACAGATGCAAGAGAGAGAACAGTAAGACCCCCGTGCCTGCCCCTCATCCTGGCCAGGCCCGGCTGCTTTCGTTTAAGTTAGGGGTGTCGAACTCAATCAGAGAAGGGGCCAAAATCTAAAATCCAGCCTAAATCGCGGGCTGAATGGTTTACTGAACAGTCATAAACTGTCATTGTGATGGAAACGCAGCGGAGTGCAGTGATGACAGCGCGGTGCGGGCCACATTGCAAGGCCTGGCGGGACGGATTTGGCCCGCGGGCCTTGTGTTTGACACATGTGGTTTAAGTGGAGGGAATGGTTGTCTCCATTATTGTAGAGACAGGACCACTGCAATAAATCGCTGAATTTTCCAGTTATGCTGTCAGTCCAGAGACCTCAACCTGAGTGCTCCAGTTTCTCCAGGCTGAGGGGCTGGGTGGGGACCCCGTGGTGGCCGGGAGCCCCGGCCCCGGGACCAGAGACCCCCCTGGCTCTTCTCTCAGGCCCGAGGCTGAGCAGAGTGCTGGGCCCGGGGAGAGGAGCCCATCCCAGGCGGCGTCTGCACCCGGGGGCGCGGGGGCCTCGCTGCAGCGGGTCAGCCAATGACGCCACCTCGTCTTCAACAGCGGCGGCAGGTGTGCAGCCCCGACCGCGTCACGCTCTACGGGCTGATGGTGAAGCCAATCCAGAGGTTCCCGCAGTTCATCCTCCTGCTTCAGGTACCGCCCGGGACTCTGCGGCCTCCTGCCAGCCCGGGCACGCCTGGAGGGTGGGGGCTCCCCTCTGCCATCTGCAGTCCCTGCATCTGCGGTGGACTGTGGGCGGGGCCTCTCCCCGCCCCGTCCCGCCTGGCCCCTCCCACTTCACTCCTGGAGGGGAGCCGATTTCCCCCGTCCCCATGTGGAATGCTGGTGGTGGGTGAGCCCAGGATTCTGGGAGGTAATGAAGGCGTGTGGAACCCAGGACCCGTGGGCTCTGGGCCGGGAGGAGAAGCTCAGGGAATGAGCTGACCTGGGCCACTTCAGGCTTCACAGGAAGTAGTAGACTCCCTCCCCTCATGTTCCTGCCCCACCCCATGCCCAGGGCCTGAGACCTTGGGACATCCTTGTTAGGGGTGAGCCTCGGCCCAGCTGGGAGGGCGGCTGCCAGCCGAGGGCCCCGGCAGTGTCCTCCTTTCTGTCCTCAGAGCTCATAGAGTGGCTGTCAGCATCGGTGCATCAGGGATGGGTCCACATGCTTACTATTTTTTCATTCATTCGCTGTTTCCTGAGGCCATGCTCTATGCCAAGAACCACCTATCCTGGCTGCAGGGTCTCCGTAGGGGCCTGGAGGCTGAGGCTTTGACCTTAGCCAGGGGAGGGTCTGTGAGAGTGAGGTCCTCAGCCCTGGTTCTCCCGGTCCTGCAGGACATGCTGAAGAATACCCCCCGAGGCCACCCGGACAGGCTCTCGCTGCAGCTGGCCCTCACGGAGCTGGAGACGCTGGCCGAGAAGCTCAATGAGCAGAAGCGGCTCGCTGACCAGGTGGCCGAGATCCAGCAGCTGACCAAGAGCATCAGCGACCGCAGCAGCCTCAACAAGGTGAGTGTCGGGGGCTCCACACCTGCGAGGGTGCCCTCACCTGTTCTGCAGCCTGGATCACCTCTCTGCCTCCTGCCTCCTGCCTCGTGGCCACCACCAGGTGGCAGTGTTCCTTGAGGGAGGGGCTTCCTTGCTTCTCTCTGTGCCCACAGACCTTACCTAGAGGATTAGTCAGCCTCACTGGCCCCCCACATTCGTTACTGTTCGTGCTACTTTAGGATAAAAGCTCATTTTTTTCATTCATGTCATTGCCGGTACATGTATGGGAAATGATAACCATATACTGTGCTTGAGCAAGTGGGCTCTTAGAGTTTGGGGTTTGAATCCTGATTTTGCTGCTGGTGCTCACTGTGTGGCCTCAGGGGAATCACACAACCTCTCTGAACCTCACTTGCTCCCACTGAAAGGGAGTCGGCAAAACAGCAGGTCTGGAGTCCTTAATACAAAGTGGCTATCGTCATTATCAGTGTTATTTTATTAAAGAAGAAGAAAGATGAAAAGTCCATGCTAGGTCTTGGGATTGCAGCTTAGGAATATTCTAGTGTGCCCCCACCCACAAAAAAAAAAAAAAATCTTGAAAAACTTTCAAATAAGCCTGTAGAGACCCCTGTTTTTAAAATACAAAGCCAGCCCCGCTGGTGTGGGTCAGGAGGTCACGGTTCGATTCCTGGTCAGGGCACATGCCTGGGTTGTGGGCTCGATCCCCAGGAGGGGCCATTCAGGAGGTAGCTGATTGATGACTCTCATCATTGATGTTCCTCTCTCTCTCTCTCCCTCTCCCTTCCTCTCTGAAATCAATAAAAACACATTAAAAAAAACCCAAAACAAAACAAAACACAAAGCCAGTACAAAAAAGTCACTTCCGAGAGCCACCTGCTGGCAGTCCTCTGTGTCCGAGGGGCATGTGACCTTGGCTGCCTGTGTGTGTACCCAGATCTGTACCGCGGGCTTCTCTCACATACCGGAGGGTGGAAGTCGGCCCAGATGGTCCGGGTGAGGCGACCCCGCCCAGGGCACATTGGAGGGAGCTTCAGTCGGTCCTTCTTTGGGGAAGTGACTTTGTGCTGGGTCATAAGGAGGTGCTCAGGTCTTTTTTGGGGAAAACTGGGAGCCTCTGGGCTCTGTGGGCCCGAAAGCAGAATGACTAAGGCCGGTGACTAAGGCCAGGGAGATTTCAGCCACGCGGGTGGGATGTTTTGTATAGGAAGGGTTGTCAGGAAAAAGCAGCCCTTTCCAGAAGGACTGCAGCCTTCCTGTATATAGTGCTCTCTAACCCACAGGGCCATTTACTTTTTATTTTTACATCTTTTCCACAGCCTGTGAACCTGGGCTGGGACAAGACAACCTGCAGGGCTTAAGACTCTCCCACCTCAGGCCAAATTCAGGCTGCTCATACGTTTTTGGGCCCACACAGTAGTTAAAAAAATAATTAAAAAAATGGAGCCTTAACCAGTTTGGCTTAGTGGATAGAGCATCGGCCTGCGGACTAAAGGGTCCCAGATTCAATTCCAGTCAAGGGCACGTACCTTGGTTGTGGGCACATCCCCAGTGGGGAGTGTGCAGGAGGCAGCTGATCAATGTTCCTCTCTCATCGATGTTTCTAACTCTCTATCCCTCTCCCTTCCTCTCTGTAAAAAAAAAAAAAAAAAAAAAAAAAAAATATATATATATATATATATATATATATATATATATATATATAAAATATATATATATTTTTAAAAGGAATTACCATATTTTTTGGACCATAAGATGCACTTTCCCCCCCCCCCCAGAAGTGGGGGGGAAAAGTCCCTGCGTCTTATGGTCCAAATATAGCCTACACATATACTTTAAAAAAAAAGTTTTTTTACTTGCCCGGCTCTGTGTGGTCTCTGTGTGCTTGCCTGGCTCTAAAATGGTTCTAAATGCTGCTGTTTACTTTACAGGGTTGATTACATGTGTTTATGACTGTGATGTTGGGTTTTAATGCACATAAAATATTTTAGGACACTGTTTCAGAATCTTTTTTTCTTCATTTCCCTTCTCTAAAAACTGGTGCGTCTTATGGTCCGGAGCGTCTTATGGTCCGAAAAATACGGTAGTTGTGAACATTTGAAAATGAAGAGCTATCCCATAAAAGACTTGTGGGTCCTCCTGAAGGATCGGAAGAGCTGGAAAACCTATAGGTGTTGGGCCAGGAACTTCTTACAGGGTAGCCCCTCCCCACGTTTCCCAGAGAGGTGCCCTGCTGGCCCCACAGGCATCTGGCTTTGCTTCACCTGTTCCAGGAGGAAAGAGATGGGGAAACAGATGGGGGAGAAGACAGAGCCTCCTTCTGGGGGACGTCGCCATCCGTGATTGATCCAGGTGGGCATGAAGGCTGGGCACTATCCTGTCCTCTTCCTGCCTCTAGGCAGGAGACCCTCTGGAAACGTCCATGCCTTCCATTTTGGAATGTCTCTGGAGAAAAGGACTTCGTTCAGCCCAGCCGTGGCCATCCATGCCTTGGAACTTCTTCTGTCTTCTGTGCTAGCTCCTCCGCTATAACCAGGAGGGCTTTTCCTGCCTCTGCTCACGCACCTGTGCAGCCGCCGTGGGGAGAGACCGTGGGAAAAGGAAGCCCTTTGCCCTAGCAGTTACTCTGGGAAGAGCCATCTCTTCTATTCCGCTCTGTCCCCCAGGGGGACCCGGGCAGGAAGGCGTGGTGGCCATTGGCTGGAGGTCAGGAAAACCTGTTGGTGTTGGGCAAGGAACTGCAGGCTCTGAGTCTGTTTCTCATGTAGGGGGTGTGCTTGCCAGGTCTGGATGCTGTGAAGAGGGTGGTGGCGGCCGCCCCCATGCCTTCCCCCTGCCAGGGCCCCCTTGGGCAATCTCAGACAGGCCAGTGGCTTTCCCCTGGTCCATCGCCCGGGGGGAAAGCAGAAGCGAAACAGGGTGGGCCCCAAACGGAACTGAGCGGCTGTTTCATAATGTGCCTGCTCCAGACCCTCTGGAGGCAGTTGTGCAACATCTGGATTTTCTCTTTCTTGTTCAGTCTGCCGAAGGCCCAGGGGACTTTCCTCTTCCAAGTTCTGGGTCCCGGCACACTTGGCAGTCTCTCACGGGCCCGCTGCCCTCAGGGTCCCAGCCCTGCCTCTGAGCTGGGCCAGCTCACTGGTAGAAGTAGTGGGAGGAGGTCGGCCTTGGCAGTTATGGGGGGAACCCGAGGAACCTCGAATCTTTTTCTTGTGTTCGGAGCAGCGGGCTCTCCCCTGACTCCGACAGCCCAGCCAGGAGCTGGAGGGACAGCGCCTGTGGCCTGGCTCCATCCAAGCTGCGTCTCAGAGGTCCCCTCACCTCTGGGCTCTCCGTTTCCTCCTCTGGGGATGGGCATGGCCTGGGGACCGCTGAGCAAATGAAACGAGAAGCAGAATGCTCAGTGCCGAGCTCCGTGCCCGCCCGGCGCACAGTAGGGTTTCGTACTGTTTGCACCTCTCTGTTGACACGAGACACGTGGTTTTTTTTTTTTGAGATCGACAGGCATTTTTCCAGGAGGGGTTGGGGGGCTTTGCCCTTTCCCTGGTGAGGGTGGGAAGGATGGGAGGAGAACTGTTGCCCTTGGAGTCATGGGTTTTGGGAATGAATTTTGCTACCCCCCCCCCCCCTGCAATATTCCTATTGGTAAACAGATGTTTTCCCAGGGGAACCCCAGGTGGGATGGTGGTCCCAGGGCTGGAGGGGGTTCTGGGTGTCCAGGCTGCAGAGAGGCTTGGGGCTCGAAGGCCCTTGGGCCACCTCAGAGGGTCGCCTAGTTGACCAGCAGACCCACCCCGCTCCATTGGGAGCCCTTCCCAGGGCCGAGAGTGGACAAGGCTGTTCAACAGGTCAGGGTGCAGGGACCGGACCCACTTCCAGGCTGGGGTCTCCCTGCGTGAGGCCACACCTCTTCGCGGGGAGCTCGGTCACAGACAGCAGCAGTGGGACAGCTGCCATCTCTGCAGTGTCAGCTCCGGGGGTGTCCCCCCTGCACTGTCACAGGGCCGGGGCGCAGAAGGGCCTGCGCTGGCTTGTAATTTGTAGTAACTTGAATGAGGGGCACATTTCCATTTCACTCCGGGCTTGGGAAGTTAGGCAGCCACATCTGCTCATGCGTTACCATGGTGACCTGAGGGTGGAGTTTGTTGCCCCACTTGACAGCTGAGGTGTGGGCAGGTGGAATGACCCCCCGGATGGCTTCCCAGCTGGTGCTCGGGGAGCCGGGGTTGAGGTCCCTGTGGTGCTGAACGGGCGGGGTTGCAGAGGGACGGCTGCAATGGCTGGCTCACCTGAGAGGGATGCTGCTGCCGGGCAGGGAGGGTGGTCAGGGGACCCAGCCTGTGGCCCTCCCAGGGCCTCCTGTCACCTGGAGGTGGAGGGCGAGGCCCTGCCTCCTCTGCCTCTCCCAGCCGCGGTCTCCTTTTGGCCAGAGAATTCTGGGTCTTCGGCCCGGTGATGTCCGTGTAACCGCCTGCACGCTTGTTGGTGTTGACCTTGCTCTGTCCCCCTCCACCAGCTGTTGACCTCGGGCCAGAGGCAGCTGCTGCTCTGTGAGACGCTGACGGAGACGGTGTATGGTGACCGCGGGCAGCTGATCAAGTCCAAGGAGCGCAGGGTCTTCCTGCTCAACGACATGCTGGTCTGTGCCAACATCAACTTCAAGTGAGTGGCCGGGCCCGCCCCCCTTGGGGACCTATTCCTGTCCTTCCCAGTCCCTCGGCCGGCCCCTCCGCGACAGGGTCCCTCCGATGGCCCCTCTGTGACAGGGTCCCAGGGAGCTCAGCTGAGGTCACTGATACACCGGCTTCCTCTCCCATCTCTCCTGGCCTGCTCTGTTCCTGGTCCCGGAGCCAGGAAGCGCCTGGAGAGGTCACGGGCCTTTGGGAGACAGCTGTCCGTTGCACAGTGTGGTCGGTTCTGGCCCCCGAACAGCCTCCTGAGTCCTGACCACTTTGAAATTCATGAGGTTCTCCCTGTGTCCAGCTGCCCTGGTTTCCATGGCTCTTCCCCCTGCTGGACCTCTGTGTTTCTCACATGAGCCTGGGCCTGTCCCGCCCCCCCCCCCCCCCGCCACCCAGAGCATCTTCTTCCACAGGAGTCTGGGCGCTGCTCCTGGGTCAGAGGTCAGAGGTCAGAGGTTGTAGAAATGCCAGGCTGTGCCCAGAGGGGTTGGAGCCCTGGACAGGGGGAGGGTGATTCTTTAGACTGGAGTCAGCAGACTTGTGGCCCAGGAATCTTTTCATGTACGCCATTCACCCAAACACGCAGGAGACATTTGTTGTTCTTGAAAATGTGAGGATCCCACATTTGAGGCCCACGTGGCCCAGGGCACACGTGTCTCCTCTCCTGCTGTCCGCTGTCCCAGCAGCTGTCCGCTCACCCATATCCTGGCTTGGCCTTGTAGGCGGTAGGGATGATGGCCTTTTACCAAAGGAATTGCAGCTGGACCTCCCCAGCCGGGCTCCTGTCCACTTGTGGAGGGAAATCTCTGCTCCCATTGTTGAATGCACTTTAGAAACATCCCGGACACACAGTGTGGCTACAACAGCCAACACCCCCGAGGGAAAGCAGTCACCATAGTGGGATCCCAGCCTGGCGCTCCCACTTCTTCTGCCTGGACCACCTGTGGGGTCAGGGTGCCCACGGAGCCTGGCTTAGATGTCACACCCAGGGTTGGCTGTGCACCTGCCCGTGACCATAGCAGACGAGGGGATTGCCCATGGCTGCAGATTCCATGCCCAGAAGGGGAGTGAGCAGGGCTGTTTGGGGACTTGTGCACTATTCACCCATCAGATACTCTTGCTTTGTACCAGTCCACACGTAGGAACTCAGGCAAGGAAGCCTGTGTCCCAGAGCAGAGCGCAGCCCGCTCTCCCGCACTCTCATTTTTAAGTTCCATTGATGTCCTAGGTCAGTGGTCGGCAAACTGCGGCTTGTGAGCCACGTGCGGCTCTTTGGCCCCTTGAGTGTGGCTCTTCCACAACATACCACGTGTGGGCGCACACCTGTAGTGCGATTGAAACCTCGTGGCCCATGCGCAGAAGTCAGTTCAGCTCTCAGAAGAAATGTCAATCGTTGTATTGTTGATATTTGGCTCTGTTGACTCATGAGTTTGCCGACCTCTGGCCTAGGTACTGTTCTGACCTACACCGTCTCTGCCCACCTAGCTGATGAGAAAGTGAGATGGGGATGCTAGTGGCCACTTTGGGGGGAGGATCAGACTGGTGACTTGGGGTGAGTCCTGTGACCTGTCTGAGCATCAGTGTCCTCGTCTGGGTTAATAAAGGCTTCCTGCAGGGCCGTGTGGGGAGAGGTGCCTGGAGGCCAGTGGCCGGCCCAGGAAGCAGGCCCTTCGGGGGGTCCCTCTGCCCACCCCCAGCCGGCCCTCAGCTGCCTCATCCCCTGTAGAAATCGCTCGCTAACAGTAACCATCTCTCCCTCCTTCTTGTCCCTTTCCTCAGGCCTGCCAACCACAGGTAGGGGCGTGGGGGCTTTGGGGGCAGCTGATTCTGGATCTGGGGCTGGGGACGGGGTGCCTGGTGCTTTTGCCTTGGCGACGGCTCCCTGCCATGCCCGGCTTGGTTTTGGCCTGAGGCGTTGTGCTGGGCCGTGAGGTGCCTGGCTGAGCTGCCGTGCTGAGGAGGGGCATCTGGGCTGGCCCGGGGCTGGGGTGCTGCTGGCTCTCCAGGCCTCCGTCCATCTCTCCGTCCCTTAGGGGCCAGCTGGAGATCAGCAGCCTGGTGCCCCTGGGGCCCAAGTACGTGGTGAAGTGGAACACGGCCCTGCCGCAGGTGCAGGTGGTGGAGGTGGGCCAGGAGGGCGGCGCCTACGACAAGGACAACGTGCTCATCCAGCACGCCGGCGCCAAGAAGGCCTCCGCCTCGGGCCAGGCTCAGAGTGAGTACCGTCCGGTGCCGCCCGGGGAGCACCTGCTCAGGCTCCTGGGCCCATCCGGGGGGGCCCCCAGGCCAATGGGCCACTGGGCCCAGAGCTCTTGCTGGTTTACAGCCCCACACACCCACACACACACAGCCCAACCCCTGTGAGCACACGCACATCCCACAGCTGCACCTGCACACACAGGACAGATGCTCCCTGCCCTGCCCACTCCAGCCCCACGTGCCCTCACACACACACACACACACGCACACGTGTGCACACACGTCCCTGCACAGGCAATGACTTGGAGTCAGGAAGCTGACTTCCAGTCCTCGCCTGGGTATTTCCTGCCTCCCTGAGTGATGCCGGCAGGTGTCACCTCCTCTCTGTGCCTCAGTTTGCCCCTCTGGACAGTCAGGGAGAGTCTCAGGTGACACTAATCCTGCCCCTACACCCTCAGGGTCCAGGTCAGGGCTTCCTGGCCCCGCCCCAGTCCTCCTTCCCTTGTCCTGACCATCCTTGGGCTTCTTTTGTCTACTTGCCTTCACTCATCTGAGCTCAGGCGGCCCTTCCTTTTCAAATTCCTGTGGCCTGGACCTGGTGCCCCCCCCCCCCGCCCCCGACCCCCACTTTCCCCTGACCCCCACCTCCCCATGCTCTCAAGGCTAGAGCATTGGCTGCCGTTTGCCCTTGGTGTGACGGTAGCCCTGCCCGGAGCTGGTTCCAGGGGTGTTAACAGCCGTTTGCCAAATGAATGAAGGGCGCTGACCACAGAGCCAGCAGAGAGGAGCACTTAGCCGGGAGCACCTTCCGCAGGCTGGGAGGGCGCTTGGCTACACTCCTCCCCACACGGGGTGGCCGGGCTCAGCTCAGGCTCTGGGCTCTGTCCATCGCCTGACCCTGGAGGTTGCCTCATGGGGCTGTTGACCATTCTGGAAGCAGGGTGATTGCATCATCTACTCTCGCCCTTGGAGGGCCGGCCGGACAGCGCACTCTCGTCCGGAGGCTGCGTTTCTTCCCTTGGGCTGGGAGGCGGGAAGGGCCACCTGCAGCCCCAGCTCTACTCCTCCTGCCCCCCCACACCCCCACTCTGGGACCTCCTTCAACCGCTGTCTGTCTGTGCTTCCTCCTGAGATGACAGTCAAATGCTGCCAGACCCCCTTTTGGGGGGAAAAGTTCTCATCGAACCCCAGTTGGCCGTGAATGATTTTTTTTTTATTATATTGTTATTCAAATGTGTGCAAATATCAGGCTAGGTATAATTGACGCCTTATGCTCAGACCCTTTGAACACCCATAAAACCAAAACAAAAACCGCAAATGGGACAAAAATGAAGCTGCAAAACCATAAAATTCAAACGAGCAGCATTAATGCCATGGGAGGGGGGTGCTGTTTTGCTGGCACCGCATTGCTCACAATATGGATGTAGCCTCCTACGGGGCAGGCTCTTTGCACCCACGACCCAGGGTGCCGTATGGTGACCCGCATTCCCGCCAGCGTACCTGTCGGGGTCCCTGCAGAGCCCATCCTTCCCTTGGTTTGGTATGAGCCATCCCTCCCTCCCCTGGCCACCTTCTCCCTGCTCCCTGGTGGCCATTCAGCTCGCCCTGCTCAGTGCAGCGCACGTGGCTTTGAAGCCATCCTCTCCAGATGACTCTGGATGCGCATCAGATTTTTAGATAATCATCTCAATGACACCCCAAAATAACTCCCCTTGCAGGAGTCCGTGGATCTCAGCTTGAGAAGCCACGGCCTAGAGAATACAGCCCACGTTCCCTAGCGTGGCATAGAAGGACTTCTCCTTCCTGTCCTGCGGGCCCCTCCTGCTCTGTCTCTTGCTGACCGTCTCCCAAGCCCCCGGCACTCCCTTTGTGTCATCGGTAGAGATCTGGGCATCCTCCTCCCCCCACCCCAAACCCCCCTGCCATCACTGTCTCATCGCTCTGATAGCATTCTCCTTAGTACCTCCCGTCACCTGTGACTGTAACTGACTGCGTCCCCAGTCTTCCCCTTCCCCCAGGTCATACACTCCATAAGTGGGGACCCTGTCTTGTTCACACCTGTCCCTCTCACACCCGGAATGGAACCTGGCACATAGTAGGTCCTCAGCATGCTTTTTGAACAACTTGCTGTTCACAGGCTTCCTCAAGCCACAGTGCCTTTGCACATGCTGTTCTCCTTCTTGGCAGTGCCCACCCCTCTCCTGGCCCCATGAGGGCTCCTCGTATCTTGCACGGCCCAGGTATGTGCCAGGAGTGCTGTGACGACTGGAGCAAGTGCAGCTGGAGCAGAATTGGTTCTGTCTTCTGGTCGCCGGTGACCCTTTGTCGGGATTGAGTGTGCCCTGGACGTTCCCTGGGCTGGCCCTGTGCTCCCCGGTAGACAAGAGCCTGGGAGTGTTTCTTTCTGTCTCTCTGCTGCCCTGTCCCCAGGGCGACAGCTCTTCCTTTCTGCGGTGCGTGGACACCGGGGTTCTCATTGGCGTCTTCCCGCTCCCGAGCTGACCTGGCCTCTCTCTGCCCAGGTAAGGTGTACTTCGGCCCCCCACGGCTCTTCCAGGAGCTGCAGGACCTGCAGAAGGACCTGGAGGTGGTGGAGCAGATCACGGTCCTCATCGGCACGCTGCACGGCACCTACCAGGTACGACGCGCTGGCCTGGCCTGCGGTTCTCCGGCTCCGCCCCCTGGGCAGTCCCAGGCTCGACAGGCAGAGTGGGGGCTCCTCTCCTGGCCCAGGCTGTGCCTCTGAGGCCCCCCAACCAGCAGGCGTGGCCATGCCCACTGCCTTCACCTAGAAGTCTGGTGTGTGGCCTCTGGTTGAAGCTCTGGTTCAGGTGGAGGGGGCCTGGCTGCCTGGTATTTTTTATTGTTTTCTGCACGGTGGCCAGCTAGTCTTGCAGTCCCTTCCTGGCATTGCTGGGAAGGAAGCTGCTAGGAGGGTGTGTCCCTCTCAAAACAGGGGTGTCGGGTGGGCTCTGAGGACCTGGCGTGGCTTCTGGGGAGCCGGTGGGCTGCGTGGGGACTCCATTGGCCTCCTCCTCCGCCCTAGAACCTGAACATGACCGTGGCTCAAGACTGGTGCCTGGCCCTGCAGAGGCTGATGCGGGTGAAGGAGGAGGAGATCCAGTCGGCCAACAAGTGCCGCCTCCGGCTCCTGCTTCCCGGGAAACCCGACAAGTGAGAGCGGAGGGGCCGGCGGTGAAGTGGGGGGTGGGGGGCGCTCAGAGGGGGCACTGGAGCTGTTCCGCTTGTTAGTATCGCTGTGATGGGAGGGGTGTGGATGCACCGTGGCCATGCCCACCACCGAGGGGCCCCCGATGCTCCGAGGTGGGATGCCAGTGTGGTGACAACAGTGACCTCCACTGCCTCTGGCCTGGCCGTAACCCGCTTCATTCACGTGCCCATTACCAGGCAACTGGCCTTTGCCAAAGGCTGTTGCCCTGAGGATATGGCACCAGAAATACAGGAGGAAACATGGCAGAGGCTCCCGGAGCAGGTGTCTGATAAGGCCCGTGGCAAGCTGACCCGGTGGAGCCCTGGCAGGGCCTCTCGCCTCAGCCTACAGCGGGCCAGGCACCTCTGGCATTGCTAGGCGCCCAAGCCGAGGCACCTGGGGCTGGGCCGCCGTGTGGCCTGGCTCTCTGGGGGAGGTGCCTTGCTCCTGGGGCTATGGTGGGTGGAGGGACCCCTCCCCCTGGGGACCGAGGCTTTGCTGGGCAGGCCACCGGCCTCCCTGGCACCCTTGGCTGCTCTGAGCAGACCTTGCTCCCAGGCATGGGGTTGAGGGAAGAGCTGGGTGCTGGGCCCGGGGGAGCCAGGCCCTTGCTCTGAGCACCCACACTCCTCGCCCTTCTCACCCTCCTTCTCGCCGAAGGTCCGGCCGTCCCATCAGCTTCATGGTGGTCTTCATCACCCCCAACCCCCTGAGCAAGATCTCCTGGGTCAACAGGCTGCACCTGGCCAAGATCGGACTCCGTAAGTAGAGCCCCAAAGGGAGCACCTGAGGGGGAGTGGGGGGAGAGGGGAGGTTTGGGGTGTGTGTATGTGTGTGGGGGGCGTCCAGGCTCATGGGGGGAAGGAGGCTCCTGAGTTGTGGGGGAGGTGGGGAAGCTGGAGCAAGGGTTCTGAGTCTTACGGCTGCTCAGTGATCTTGGACAAGTCCCTCTCTCTCCAAGCCTCAGTTTCCCCATCTATAAAACAGTGGGAACTGGCATGGTAAATCAGTGGTTGCCAGGGACCTGGGAGGAGGGGGATTGGAGAGGGACTGTTAACGTGTTTTTTTTGTTTTGTTATTGTTTTAGTGGGAGTGATAAAGATATTCCCGATTTTGGGGTGATGGCTGCCCAACTCTTAATATGCTAGAAACCAGTGAAGTGTAGACTTTAAAGGGCCAGCTTTATGGTGCTGAATTACATCTTAAGGCTGTTATCCAAACGTGATATAGGGTAGACCAAACGGAGTTTCTTCCAAGGACCTCCTTAGGATTATTTTCTCCTCTGCTCCCCGATAAAATACAGCCAGCAATGGCACTGGTATTCACTGAGCGCTTCCTGTGAGCAAGCATTTTCCTCTCCTCCTTTGTTTCACGTCCGCAGACACCCTAAAGGGCAGGGCTGCGTGAGCCCCTTTCGCAGGGAGGTTCGGAGCCCCGGGCGGTGCTGTGACTTGCCTGAGCCCCAACAGCCGGAGGGACAGCCGGGGCAGCCGCTCCTGTCCATCCTGCTTCCTCCACGTGGGGAGCTTCTGACTGCCAAGCCACATTCATTAAGTTATAATTATTTGTGTTTTCTGTAAATTGACCAAAGGCCCCTGTCCTTGCCGATCAGAGCCATTATTCCTTGCGATGTACTGGAATTCTCTTTTGCTGATTCCAGCCAATAGCGGCGACTGCTTTCTTGGTTTCTGCTGTGATCTTTTCTTTTTTCTTCTTCTTTTTTTTTTTTTTTTTAATATATTTTTATTGATTTTGTACAGAGAGGAAGGGAGAGAGATAGAGAGTTAGAAACATCGATGAAAGAGAGTCATCGATCAGCTGCCTCTTGCACACCCCCTACTGGGGATGTGCCCACAACCAAGGTACATGCCCTTGACCGGAATCGAACCCGGGACCCTTCAGTCCCCAAGCTGACGCTCTATCCATTGAGCCAAACCGGTCTTGGCTCTGTTGTGATCTTTTCTAGATGAGTATACGTTTCCAATAGGCTCTGCCACGTTTCCGGAAAGGGGCCAGGGCTTTCGTCAATTAAACAACGATCTATTGAGTCTCTGCAGTAATTTTAGGCAGAGGGTAAAAGAACAGTGATACAAACAGAAAGATCCCTACCCTCAAGGAACTCAGGATGCATGAGGGGCAGGTGGACTTTACATGGGGAGCAAACCATCAGGGAGGGGGTGTGCTGTGAGAGTGCAGAGCTGGGTGACCTGACCTGCACCAAGCCCGGGGGTTGGGAGTGCTGTCACGAGGGCATCTGAGGAGATGACATCTGAAGCCACGCAGAGCTTCAGGAAAAATGGTCCAAGCTTGAAAACAGCACGTGCAAAGGTCCTGAGGTAGCCAGAGCCGGGGGATTGGGCAGGTGGAGGCGGGGGCAGGCTTTCCAGAAAGCCAGGGCAAGGTGTATGGAGCTTGACGGGGAGCTGTTAGTTGTAGCACTGAGAGCCAGACAGTGGCATGGCCCGGGTCCTATTTAAGCAAACCATTCTGGTGCCGTGCAGAGGGCGCGTGGAGGTCGGGAGGGCATGGGAGGAGGCTGTGGCTTGGGGGAGCCAGGATCAGAGGCTTCTGCTCTCCAGTACCTCCTAGGATCTGGTACTGATGTGCCCAGGCCTCTGCTGGGTGTGTCTTAGTGACCAGGGGGGCGGGGGAAGGGTTGTAAGCAGAGGTGGTTCCTGGCCTTGGCAGAGGATTGTGGGAATTCTGGCCCACGGAAAGGCTAAGCTGGCCCCCGCTGCCTGCTCCGGCCACACCCCCGCTGGTGCCGCCGCTGTGTCTTGGGCAGAGGCCTACACCCCGTTCGGGCACCTGCTCTGAAGGCAGGTGACTCTGCTGGAGCCCCAGCTGCTTTACTGAGCGGGGCCTGGTGTCAGCGGGAGGAGCGGACTGACGGGAGCCTCGCAGTCCTCGCTCAGCCGCCCGGTCTGCGCAGTTTCACTGCAGCAGAAAGTTTTAATGGAATGGGAGTCATTTCAAATCTTACTTTGAGTGCCTGGGTTCCCCTGGGGCTTGAATAATTTGTGCCTTTTATTTTGCCAGTTTGTTTTATCTGCAGTGCCTGGTGGGGAGGGGAAAATAACATGAGCCCATTAAAATATGTTTTTATTCACAAAGGATGTTATTCCTTTAATTTCCCCCCCCCCATATCTTCCTCTCACCCTGATTGCACGGGGCTTATCTCATGGGGCTTATCTCACACGGTATATCTCACAGGCTCGGCCTCTCCCTCGCTGCCTCTGATGAGGTTGTTATTCCAGCCCCCAGCCCTCCCAGTAACACCACTGCTCCCCCTTGCGATGGGTCCATGGGGAGGCCTGAGCACGGCCCAGGTGTGTGCCAGGAGTGCTGTGACCCTCATGTCCTTTAACCCTCAACCTGAGGCCGGGACCTGGCCAAGCCCTCCCTGGAAGTGGGTCTGCCCTCCAGGAGGGCGCCGTGGTGGCCGTGGGCATGACGTGGGTTTTACCCAGCTGGGTGACCATGGCCACTCTCCTGGGTTCCAGGGGAGGGGTGTTCGGAGAGGACGCATGGTGATGTCCTGCCAGCCCCGTCTGTCCGGGAGGCTGCTCTCAGGGCAGTGACAGAGGCGTGGCGCTGGGTCTGAGCAGGAGCTTGCCAGGCGGTCGGTGGTGCTGTGGGGGAGCCCCGTGGGCAGGGCCCTTAAGCGTAGTAACAGGCAGTGCTCTCGACCTCAAGGACAGCGACCAGACGGGCACTCTCTCTGGAGTGCCGGGGGTATGCCAGGCCCTCCAGCCATTCTCCCCAGTGCTCACAGCAGCTGCAGACGCTGGAGTGATTCCCCGTTTTCCAGATGCGGCCACAGCCTCTGAGGGCTAAGTGTCCGGCTCCGCGTGGCACTGCGTGAGGCTGAGGTGGGATCTGGGGGGCTGCTCTGCGGGCTCGGAGGTGGGGGAGCGGCAGGGGCACGGCCCCCAGCCCTGAGCTGCTCCCGCCGTCCCACGGCCGCTCCTTGGTTCCGTGGGCACCGCAGAGGCTGGGCGCTAACAAGCCCCTGCCAACGTCACTTGGAAACCACAGTGTGGACGCCAGCGCCCGTCCTTCATGTCACTTGTCCCAGGTGGGCCTTCCGTGTGCAGCAGCGGCAGCTTCTAGCTCTGTCTCGGCCGCCGGGTTGTGGCAGGGACAATGGCAGTGGCAGATGGGGAGCAGCGACTCCATTCTCCTTTAAGGCTCCCGGGCGCAGGCACCATCTGGAAGGAGAAGGTCAGGTCATTAAGAAATACACATCCTGCCGAAACAGGTTTGGCTCAGTGGATAGAGCATCGGCCTGCGGACTGAAAGGTCCCAGGTTTGATTCCGGTCAAGGGCATGTACCTTGGTTTCGGGCACATCCCCAGTAGGGGGTGTGCAAGAGGCAGCTGATCGGTGATTCTCTCTCATCGATGTTTCTAACTCTCTATCCCTCTCTCTTCCTCTCTGTAAAAAAATCAATAAAAAATATATTTAAAAAAAAGAAAGAAAAAGAAAGAAATACACATCCTAACGAATCGCAGGACTCCGTGGGCTGTGCCGGGGAGGTGCGGGGAGGGGGGTGGGGTTTGGGGGGAGGTGTGATTGGGGCATTATGTTCGAGGACTGAGCTCTGGGAAGCCTCCTGCGAGGGGTGGGGCTTGGGGGCTCTGCTGGGCTCCCGTCTGGTGGAGGGGAGGGTCTGCGTGACGTAAGCTCCTTAAGAGCAGGGGCACACTCAGATCTCGCAGTCCTCATTCCCACCTCGGAGGTGGGTGCTGCCAGGAGCGGGGGCGTCTTGGCAAACACCTCGCGTGGCGGGCGCTGTGTGAAGGGCCCCCTGGCTTGGGCCCTGGGCCCTGGGCCTGCCTGTGTCTTCCCCGGCCTCTTTGCTCGGGGTAGATGGGGAAGGAAACACTGACCCCCTGGCGGCCAGGAGGGTGAGAGGAGAGCGTGGGGGGCCGCTTTGTAACCTGAAGTGTGGCGCTTGCAGTCCTGCTATGCCGATGCCTGCCCCGTGCCCGTGCCTGTGCCCTAGTTGTCCTTTCCTTGGCGGCCTCGCCTCCTCAGTGGGAGGAACCAGGCTTGATGGGCTTTGTCTCCGGGGCCCAGGGGGGCAGAGGGCTCGTGTGGGGAGTGAGCTCACTGCCCTGGACTCTGCTGCTTGAGGGGGTGGGTGCTCTGGGCGGGAGAGCAGGCGGGACGGGCACTGATCGGGCCTGACCTTTGTAGGCGTCTCTGACGTCTCTGACGTCTCCAGGAGCATCCACACCTGCCACCGTGTCCCAGCTCGCTCGCTCAGGCGCCACTTCCTCGGGGGCAATGGCGTTTTCTCAAAGGCCCCTTCCTGGGGCACGATTGGCAGACAGCAGGCTGTGCATGGCTAATGTGTGCGACTTGATGAGTCTGGAGTATGTGCCCGTGAGCCCATCCCCAGTCTATGCCACATCACAAACCCATTCCCAAGCCCCTCCTGCCCACTCACTGTTATTGTGCGTGATAAGAACGATGCATGCCAGGCCCTCTGAGCAGATCTCTGAGCACGTCCTGCGGAGCAGCCAGCCACAGGCGCCGTACTGCAGACGGCCTGGGGCTTAGCTTGTGTGACCCAGACATGGCGCCCTTCGTTGCCGTCCCGTTTCTCCTCCCTCACGGCTCTCCTCCAGGGCTTGCTCTGGGCCTGGTGGCGGGAAGGCTGTGCCACGCCGGTTCAGTCCATGAGCTCTCTCCCAGCTCCAGAGCTCTCTGTTCCCCTCGGCTCCACCATGGCCCCTCTCCCCCAGCGCCTCTGCTCTTAGGACTGAGCCTCCTCCTCATTGTCCAGCGTCACCATATCAAGGGTCAGTCATGCTCATGGCTGTCGGTCGGAGGCTAGGTGCTGGAAGAATGCCTGCTTTAGTGCAAAGAACCTGGGCTTTGAGTCAGACAGTCCTTGGTCCCCATCTGGGCTTGGCCACGTAGGCATGCCCGTGGCCCGGTCAGCATACCCCCGAGTGTCTGTCTCATCATGCACCAAGGGAAAATCATTAGCGGACTGTGCTTGGTCCATGTGAAAACAAAGCCAGGGGACACGCACATGGCACTCAGTGTGTGCCTGGTGCGTGGACACACAGTAGGGCGCCCCAGCTGTACTGTGGCCCCACTGTCCAGGTCCCGGGAAGGCAGTTGCCATATGGAGGGTTGCCACGTGGGGCGTAAGGATGGGCTCCTTAGCAGGGAGAACTCTTTGGGAGAAATGGACGTCTGCTCACCCACTCACTTGCTCACTCCTTTCATTCACTCTTTCAACCCATGTTTGCCGAGCACTAATTGTGCAGGCAGCGTGCTGAGTGTCAGGGAGACAGTGACGAATGAGATAACCTGGATCTGGCACATTCTAGAGACATATGGAGATGGATTGTAAACAAGAAAGTAGACGCAGAGATTTGAGATTGTGGTGAAGGCTACCCGAGAAGTCTGACAGGGTCTTAGAGTCAGGGGCGTTCCCCCGGAGACAAAGGAGCCACTGTAGCCAGGGTGGTCATGGAGGACTTCTTGGAGGCGGCAGCCTGTGAAGGAACCACTGGTACAATGGATGATCTTGAGCACAGAGGTCTCCAAATGTGAGTCGAGGGCCTGGGCTTGGGCCTGGGTGTCTGTACTTGTCACAGGTCTATGCCCAGCTTGACGGGGGGACCTGGAGGTTTCAGGGTAGCGTCAAAGGAAGCCAGAGTAAGAGTCTTCCACAGCACCATCCTCATCACCGTCAGGAATAAAAGCAGCTGGACTTTGTCATCACAATCGAAAATCTCCTTGTCCACGTGCTGGTCTTTGACCCTCTCCCTCTCAGAAGCTAGGGCAGGGCAGCCGGGCCTGGACTTAGTCCAGCATCTTAGCGCTTCCTGAGCCCCCTTCCCTGCGTTATTCCACTGGATGCTCACAACTGCCACTGGACGAGGGCATTTTCATCGTCCCTGTGGTACAGGCGGAGACACTGAGGCTCAGGGAGTTGGGGTGATTTGCACAAGGTTGTTAAGCAAGAGGCCGGTCAAATGGGGGACTCAAACCTCAGGTGTCTGGGTTCCTTGCTGGGGACCCAGGGCCATGACCACAGAGTGGGGCCAGAGTTCATCTCAGATCGGCAGGAGTGGGGCTGGGGGTCAGGGGGGCCAGCGAGTGGCGGAGTCTGTCTAGGCTGCCGTGCGGACGGGCCTCTGGGGCCTGCGGGAGCTCGCTGGGCTCCCGGGACTGCTCACGGCCTGCGTGGTCCTCGCACTCCGACCTGCTTCACCCCCTCCTTCCTTTGCCGCAGGAGAGGAGAACCAGCCGGGCTGGCGATGTCCGGATGAGGACAAGAAGAGCAAAGCCCCGTTCTGGTGTCCGACGCTGGCCTGCTGCATCCCCGCCTTCTCCTCCCGGGGCCTCAGCCTGCAGGTGAGAGGCAGCTCTTCCTGAACCCCCCCTTCTCTGGGGAGCACCAGCGTTCCAGGCTGTGCCCACAGCAGGCAGCCCCGGCTCCAGACCCAGCGCCTCGGCTTTTTCCCGATGGAGTTGGTGGAGCCTTTTTATTGCTCTGGGAGCCAGCTGTCCTGCCCACAATGAGGGGGTAGCTGCCCTCCGTGGGTCAAGTGAACGGAAAATTCCATTATTTTTGAGCTAACAAATAGCAGTGATCTCATCCGTCGATGGCCCGACTCCAGCCCAGAGCGGCCGGAATATGCCCGAGCGCCAGGCTTTGTGGGTTGGAGCCTTGGTGGGCGGGAGCCAGGCAGGAGCCGGCTTGGATGTGGGCAGCGCCTGAGGGAACCAAGACACACCTTTCCTAGCCATCACCCTTCCACTTGTCAAGCACCTACTGTGCTCCCCACTGCTCTGCCGTCACTCTCTTGTTTTGTTATTTATGAGAACCCGGTAAGTAGATGTTTCTAGATCTGTTTCACAGGGAAGGCCCACCTGGGGCTCAGACAGATGCTTTTCTAAAAATGACACAGCTGGTAAGGATGGGCCTGGGAATGATAGCCTCGTTCTGTCTGATTCTGACACCTGTGATTTTTTTAAAAATATATTTTTATTGATTTTTTTATAGATAAGAAGGGAGAAGGATAGAGAGTTAGAAACATTGATGAGAGAGAAACATCGATCGGCTGCCTCTTGCACACCCCCTACTGAGGATGTGCCCACAACCAAGGTACATGCCCTTGACCGAAATTGAACCTGGGACCATTCAGTCCAAAGGCTGACACTCTATCCACTGAGCCAAACCAGTCAGGGCCGGACACCTGTGGTCTTCACCTCTGGTCATCTGTCCTTTGGAGCACTTGCTGCCCACCGTCCTCTCAGGGATATGAGGCCATCAGAGCTCTGGGGAGGGGAGAGCAAGCTTGGGACCCAGGCCCAGAAAAATAAGTCCCAAGAGCTAAGTGGCTAGATTGTAGACTGGGATGCTAAGTAGCTGAAAGAACATAGTCTTGAGATGTCATTTTATTCATTAGTCCATCCATCCATCCACCCATCCATCCATCCATCCATCCACCCATCCATCCATCCACCACCCATCCATCCATCATCCATCCATCCATCCTCCATCCATCCATCCATCCACCCTTCCATCCATCCATCCATCCATCATCCATCCATCCATCCACCATCCATCCATCCATCCACCCATCCATCCACCCATCCATCCATCCACCCATCCATCCACCCATCCACCCACCCACCCATCCATCCATCCATCCATCCATCCATCCATCCATCCACCCTTCCATCCATCCATCCATCCACCCATCCATCCATCCATCCACCCATCCATCCATCCATCCATCCATCCATCCATCCATCCATCCACCCATCCATCCATCCACCACCCACCCATCCATCCACTCACCCATCCATCCATCCATCCAATCTGCCAATCATTGTTGAACACCTACTGTGTGCTAGGCCCTGCCCTGGCCACTGGGAATCATAGTGATGATCAAAACATGCAACATACCTGCATATAGTGTTCAATCTAGAGATAGAGATAGGAAAAACCCTGGCAAACAAAGGGAAATAGAAAAGAGAGATGTGTGTTAAAGAAAGTAAATCAGATATGCTAGACATAGAGATGGTGCCAACCCAGAGGGCCTCTCGGAGGAGGTGGCATTAAACTGTGACCTGGATGGCAAGAAGGATGCAGCCCAGTGAGGGCCCAGGGAAGAATATTCCAAATCGCCCAACACAGAGTCCCGCCCTGGGTGCCCGGGGGAAGGCAGCGAGGCCGCAGCCCAGGAGTCCAGAGGAAGGACTGGGCCATGAGTGTGAGTGTGCCTAGGCCTCCGGCTTGGTCTCTGGGTAGAATTCAACCACGAGGAGCCCTGCAGCGGAGCAAAACTGAAGTCCAATCTTGGTGACATGCTGTGCGACCTGGAGCCAGTCATGTCCCCTCCCCTTTCCCCTTCCCCGAACTTCAAGGTTACTGACTCCTAATGAGGGGCTGGGGAAGGTGACCTCTGGTCCCCTCACCTATGGCCATTAGGCATTTTGTTAGAATATTCCCAGAAGCACCAGCAGAGGGCAGCACCTGCCCGGCAAAGGGTCCAGCAGTGGCCACATTCCTCAGAGGGGCAAAGCCACGCCCCTGAAAGGGCCAGACCATTGCAGTCCTGGCCAGAGGGCCAGACTGGCAGGATCTAACTCGGGAAACAGGCCCCAGAGACCACCTGGCATGGATTTGAGAGAAGAAGTTGAGGAGGAACAAGTCGCTGGTGGCTCTTGGTGACAGCCTGTTACAGACAGAACCCCCAGCCCCTGCCGGCAGCCCACATAAGCCACCCCACCCTGTGTCCTGGGGGCTCGTCTGCAGAGTGGTTCTGATGACCTGGGGGTCCCTCCACTGTTTCTCTGAAGGCGTGCAGGAAGGTGGAGGGGGGAGGTAGGCCCAGGCCAGGACCCGCCTCCCCCTCACCTTCCCTGTGGCCTAGGGCCACCCTGTGTGCTCATTTTTCCACCTGTAAAGTAAAGGAAGTGGAGTGGGTGTTAGTGGTTTTGAACAAACCTTACATGGAAGCTGGTCAGTTTGAAAAACCCTTAGGGTCCCAGAGTATCGTCCAGGCCCCTTGCAGCCAGAGGTCCTAGGAGAGTGATGGTCAAATGTGGGTGCATCGGAACTTCCTGGAGATCCTGGAAACCCCCACTCTCCCGGCCATCCGCTGGGATTCTCACTTGGGAATCTCCAGGTTTAACGACCCCTGACCCCTGCAGGTGGTTCACACGAAGGTCTGACAGCCAGACGCTGGCCTCTCGGGCACCTCAACCCTTAACCCTGCACATGTCACATCTGTCTCTGCAGCTCGGGGGTCTGGTCCACAGTCCTGTCAGCTCTCCCCTGCTGGGCTTCTCGGCAGTCAGCACCTCCCTTCCACAGGGCTACCTCTGGGTGAGTACCCCCTGCCGCAGCCAGGAGCTCTGGCCCTCGGACAGGACCAGGGAGAGGAGCACCTGGGAGGGGTGCTGGGGAAAGCCACCCGCCTGCTGGTCCATCTACCCGGCAAGGTCTTCCTGGGACCCGTCCCAGGCTCTGTGCTTAGAGATGGCAGGTGCCAGCCACCTCACCAGGAACAATAGAAAACTGGGACAAATAAGTGAGCATGACTCTTGCCCAGGCCACAGGCCATGCAGGAGATGAGGGGAGCTGTGCCGTGTGCCTGGGTGGCAGGTCTTCAATGGGGTCAGGCAGCAGGGCGGCTTCCTGCCCATCTCTCTCAGACCCCAGCCCCGTTTTCTGCTCTCGGGACTCCTGACAAAGCTTCCCTGGATTCAAATAGGTGACCTCCCTGTGCTTTACAGTGCAGATTGTGCCTCCCATAGATGCTTCTCTGAGGGCAATTTGTTCTTCACTGTCTCTCTAGCACATGGTGTTTCTGTCCGTCCATCCATCCATCCACCCACCCACCCATCCATCCATTCATCCATCCATGTCTCCATCTATCCATCTGTCTATCCATCTATATATCCATGCATCCATTATTCACCCACCCATTTATCCATCCATCTATCCATCCACTCACCCACCCATCCATCCATTCATCCATCCATGTCTCCATCTATCCATCTGTCCATCCATATATCCATGCATCCACCCACCCACCCACCCACTCATTCATTCATGTATCCATTTATCCATCCATGTCTTCATCTATCTATCTGTCTATCCATCCATATATCCATGCATCCTTCCATCCATTGCCATCCATCCCTCAATCCACTCAGCAAGTATACTGGTATACCATGTGTGAGACACTAAAGTAAAACAGAGAACAGGCAGATAGGGTATTTTAAAGGGGCAGAGTGTATGCTTCCTCTTTGTTGGTTGAAATTTAGCCTAAAGAGAAGGAGATAGAAAGCTGACCTGGTATCTAGTCCACCTTAGCTCCTTAGCTGGTTTCCTTTGCGCCCTGAATCTAACTTGCTGCCTTGGAGGCTGGGGACAAGTGACCTTCAGTGACCGCAGGATGCATGTGGGCAGGCGGGGGGCGCTCCCCTCACTTCTCAGTGGCAGGTAGCAGTTTGGGACAGGTCTCGGAGGGCAGGAGCTAAGCTCTGCCTCTGCTCTCATGGTTCTTCCTGACAGCTTCTTTGGGTCTCTGCCCCAGGTTGGGGGTGGCCAGGAGGGCGCAGGAGGCCAGGTGGAGATCTTTTCCCTGAACCGGCCCTCACCCCGCACGGTCAAGTCCTTCCCGCTGGCGGCCCCCGTGCTCTGCATGGAGTACATTCCTGAGCCAGAGGAGGGGGAGAGTGGAGATGGAGACAAAGATGAGAGCCACACGGCTGCTGACTCCTCTGCTGCTGTGCATCCGACCATCTGCCTGGGGCTCCAGGATGGCAGGTGAGGGCCCGGGGAGGAGGGCCTGAGAACAGCCAGGCAGGACTGGGCGGAGCGTGGAGGCTGTCTTGGGGTCCCTCGGGTAGATGTGGCTTGGCTGGATTCACACTCAGGTCTGCACCTTGTGAATCCTCACATGAGTATACTTTCTTCCCATTGATTTTTAGAGGGAGTGGAAGGGAGGGAGGAGGGAAGAGAGAGAGAGAAACATGGATGTGAGAGTGACGCATCAATTGGTTGCCTCCTGTACACACCCTGACCTGGGCCAGGATCAGACCTGCAACCCAGGTACATGCCCTTGACTGGGAATCAAACCCGGACCCTTTGGTCTGAGGGCTAATGTTCTAACCACTGAGCAAAAGTGGCCAGGGACCAGCACCTTTATTGTGCTGCTTCTGGAGGGTCCCCCCCCTCCCTCCCCCCCAGTCTTCCACAAGACAGAGGCCCGGGAGGACACCATCCTCAAAAGGCCACCCGTGGGAAGTCTGAGCTCCCCTCTGGTGGAACGAAGGCCTGGCCCCACAGAGGGGGCCCTGGAGGGCATATGGGGGGCTGAGGGAGTCACGCGGCCTCTCCCCACAGCATCCTGGTCTACAGCAGCGTGGACACGGGCACCCAGTGCCTGGCGACCTGCAGGAGCCCAGGCCTGCAGCCCGTGCTCTGCCTGCGACACAGCCCCTTCCACCTGTGTGCCGGCCTGCAGGACGGGACCCTGGCTGCCTACCCTCGGACCAGGACCAGCGGTGAGGAAGTGGGGGCTGGGAACCGGACCCTGTGCCCGATGGTTGTGGGAGGCCGGCCAAGGTGGCAGCTCAGAAACAAACCAGGCCATCTCAGAGGGGGAGGAGGGATGGGAGATCCCTGATCCCCATCGGGGTCCCCACAGGAACGGGGTGCTCACTCCTGCACAGGTAGGCCCCCTCCTCCCCCCATTGGAGGCAGGCTCTAGTGGCTAAGAGCTGGGATTCTGGGCTCGCACAGACCTGGCTTCCGGGCCGGGCCAGGCTCTGCCCTGATGACAGCTGTGCCCGTCGGTGAGCCGCTCCTCCTCCTCACGCCTGTCTCCTCGTCTCTAAATCGGCAATGATGGCAAAACCCACTTCTTACGGGTACTGGCGGGTCAGACAACCCAGTGAAGGCCAAGCACAGGGCTTGGACGGGGCTGCCAGTGGAGGCCAGCGGTTGAGTCTCTGGGATTCCATCCAGCCGTTGACGGCGGCGATTAAGATGCTGGCGGGCAGGGCTAACGGTGTGAGCGGCTGTGTTCCAGAAACACAGTGAAGTGCTTGATGTTTGCCATTATCTTAATTGTCTCCGAGGCCCTTGAGAATCGCCTCCTCTGTGCAGACCCAGGGCTGAGGCTGGGAGGGGACGCGCTGGGGCACAGCCACACGGCGCTGTGGTCCCCGGTCCCCTGTGGCTCATTCGGCTCCTACCTGGAGGATGACAAGAGCGGAGGGTTGGTTGGTAGTGGAGAAAGGGTAGCGGCCCCCGGGGCCCCCAAGGGGGCTGATGGGTCCCCTGACCGCCCAGCCCTTCCTCCCGCTCCCTCCCGCTCCCCTTACTGCTGCGTCATCACAGCCTGTTGCAGGGTTATAAACGGATATTTGTACTGAGCTAATTTTTTTTTTTTTTGCCACTTGGCACTGTGTTGGTATTTTTAATTAGCTTTTGATAAGGCATTTATAGTTTTTAATTAAAGGGGGAAGAGGGAGGGGAAAAATTCTTCTTACCATCAGAGCGTGGCTGTGAATGCAAATATGGGCGCAGGTCTCCGGGGAGAGGCCAGGGGTCCTGGGGGGGCTCCACCCGCTGGCCCCACCCCGGCCCCCTGGTCCCAGTTTGGGCTGCCTTTGGCTCTTCCCTCCCGGGTTCCTGACCCATCCGCCTGGGCGCCCAGTTGGGAGGAGGGAAGGGGGTGGCGTATGAGTTTGCTCATATACCCCACAAACCGAGGGATTTAAACACTGTGAACTCGCTGACTCCTGGTTCTGGAAGTCCAGGCTCAGGGTGTTGTCAGAGCTGCGCTGCCCAGGAAGATACCAAAGAAGGAGCTGTCCCAGGCCCGACCCCAGCCGCGGCGGCTGGTCTCCCTTCCGCACACGATGCTCTCTCTCCTGGGTGCGTGTCTGTGTCCACGCTTGGCTCTTTTGTAACAACACCCGGCACCTTGGATCAGGGCCTCCCTCCTCCAGGGTGACCACATTCTAACCAATTATTTCTGCAACAGCCCCATCTCCAAATAAGGTCACAGGCTGAAGTGCTGGCAGCTAGACCTATTTTTGGGGACACAATTCAACTCATAAGAGGTTTTGGATCTAACCACTGGCCTCGGCCTGGGGTTGGGACTGGTCGTTTGTCAGAGCCAGAAGGGCCATTAGGCACCATTGAGCTCCACCCCCCTCACTCCCCAGAGTCTCGGGGTGAGCTGAGACCTGAACCCAAATGTCCTCTGTCTGGGCCTCAAGCCCTCCCCAGACATAGAGGCCATGACTTCTGGGAGCAGAGCTGGCAGCCTTCTGGCCCGGAGGAGAAGGTTGAGGTACCTTTTCCCCTTGCAAACATTTGTGCACCAGATACTTACTGAGCACCTACCGTGCACCATGGACATGGCGGCCAGCAAAGCAGGTGTGACCCTGCCCTCGCAGGATTTGTAGAGGGAGACAGAATTAGTTCAGTGAACAAGCAGGGAGCTTACACTTACCTGTCGCCTCTCACCGGGACTGCCTGTGGCTGGGACTGGGACCATCCATCTTATCCATGTCTGAGCTGTGGGACCTCCTCCAGACTCACCAAGGCCTTGGGTACCCCTCAGACACCCTTACTCCATCCCAGTCCAAGTCTGAGCACAGAGCTGGAGCACTGCCTACAGAACCCACCGCTGGCGCCCCCTGGTGGCCTGGAGGGTCAAGGGTTGTGAATGATCTACTCCAACTGGTGGTATAGGATGAGAGGTTACCATCCTGCCTGGGTTTGGCTGAGACCACGACTGGATAAAACTGGCATTCCTGGCCCACGCTTTGTCTCCTTGCAAGAGGGCAGGACCAGAAATATCAGCCTGGGATTTGGTAGAGTCCTGGAGGGCCAGCAGCTGAGAAGGGACCGAGGAACCCAAGGCCGTCCGGTCACTGACTGGACTGTCAGAGCCGGAGGGGCCTCAGAGTTCAACCTCCAGCTGACAGATGGGAAACAGGTCCAGAGCAGTGTGGCCCTGAAAGTCATTCATTCATCTGTCGTTTAATCACGCACTTAGGGAATACGTGTTCAGTGCTCTGAGGTGCCAGGCACTGAGCAGGCCCAGGAGCAGGCCCAGGCCTGGGGGCAGGTGTGGGGAAGTCCCTGGTTAGATGCTGGGGATGTGGGCCAGCGCCTCCTCCTGCAGGAGGGGCGAGGGGACAGGCTGGGCAGTTAGGCTGGTTGAGACCCAGCTGTGAGACGACCTGTTACTTCATCTGTTGAGCCTTAGTTTCCTCACCTGTAAAATGGGGACGAAGACTGCCCCACCGCGCAGGCTGCCAGGTGGGATCAGGCACACAAGTGCCCTGGCTGGAGCCTGCAGGGTAGCCTGGTGCTTGTTCCTCCATCTAAATGGTTGTCACCGCCCTCAGTACTGACCAGGCGTGGGGTACCCTGGGTTCCCCCTCAGTGTCAGTGACTTTTACTCAGTGTCCTGCCTTCAGCTCCAGCTGGATCTGGACTTCCAAGGGCCTTCATTCCCCTTCACCTGGCAGCATGAGAGCTGGTGAGGGCCCAGACGAATGGGCTGTCACGCAGGGTGTGTGTGTGTGTGTGTGTGTGTGTGTGAGTACACATGCGGGTTCTGTAACATGTATGTGTGCACCTAAAGCCTGGAGGGCAAGGGTAGACCCCCTACCTCCACCCCCACTGCAGGCTCCAGGGGGCTTGCCCTGCACAGAGCTCACTGTGATTGCATTAAAAATCTTAGACCTGTGGCCGAGAGGGCTGGGAAGGTCAGAGTTCCGCCCCTAGGTAGCAGATGGGAGAGCTGAGCCCCAGCAAGGGCGGCCTCTGGCTCAGGGTCCCTCTGTGGGGACTCCTGTCCAGGGTCCTTTTGATATGACAATACAGGTATTCCCCTCAGTCACAGTTCCCATTCTGTCCTGAGTCAGGACATCGGTTCCTGCAGAAGCCCAGCAAGTGGAGGTCTGGTCAGCGCCCCTCTGACCCCCAGGGGTAGCAGGCCCTAGCTCCGACCTCAGGCAGCCCCGGCCACGCTGTTCCTTGCAGGCTAGAGGTTGCAAGGTTTTGGTACCCACCGAGCAGAGCCCCATTTCCTAGTTTTCGGAGTGTGGTCCCAGTATTCTCAACTGCTTAACGGGAAGGAGGTAACAGTGGAGGGAGCTCCAGCTTCTGGCTATAAGCATTACTTACCTATGGCCACTGGGGGGCGCTCAAAGCCTTGCATTTTGTGGCTCTGGTGTTCTGGTCTGGCTCAGTGTGCCTGGCTGCCTGTGGTCACTCTCTTCTTCTTGACCCCAGATATGGCCCCAGTGCCCCAGTGCCCTTGGAACCTGAGAGGGCAGCAGGGGGGCGGGTAGAAGGGAAGGTCAGAGTCAGCTGACGTTCCATCCTGCCTGGCCCGTCACCCCTTGGGTGGCTTCGGGCAAGTTCTCAGCCGCCTGGTCTCATTGTCACATTCGTCAAATGGAGCCAGCACCTGTTTCCACAGACTGTTGTGTGGTGGCAAACGACACCAGACAGTATGGGCTAACGAGCGCCCGGGACTCACGAGCTGTGGGATCCCGGCTGGCTATTTAAGCTCCGTGTCTCCACTTCCCCAGCTGTAAAGCGGGGATGGAAATAGAATGCGCAGGCCGGGAGTTAGGGAAACAATTCGTGAACACAGAGCCTGGTGTGCAGACACGCAATGGCACGGAGCAGCAGCTGTGGTGGCTGCCTGCTGGGTGCCAGCCCTGAGCTGAATGCTCTGTGCGTTCTCTTTAGTCCCTGCAGCATCGGCGAGGTGTAGGCATGGCCATCACGCCCATTTCGCAGATGAGGAAACTGAGGCTCAGAGAGGTGAAGTCACCTGTCCTGGTTCATGCAGAAGTTCCGAGGCCACAGCCAGGGTTCTGGCCCTGCCTGCTTCCCATGTGCTCACATTCAGGGCCTGGAAAGACCCGGTAGTGTGTTGGGGGAGGGGTTCCTATTCCCCAGCTCCCAGCTGGTCTGGGGGTCTGACAGGCTTAAGGAGGACAGAAGGGAGAGCGGCAAGCCTGCTCTCCAGGTGGGGTAAAGCCTGGGGGGGTGGTAGTCTGTCCTCCAAGGGCTCTTCCTGCTGCCCTGCTGACAGGGGCTCCCATCATGTTCCCTGGTGCCCCTCCAGCTCCACCGACAGCTGTGCCCCACCCTGTCACCAGCAGCTGGCTCGGAGGGAGGGTCTATGAAGGGGCTGCTGGCAGGGTCCCATAGCGGGAATGTGGGTGCCTGAGCACTGGCAAGCCAGCAGCACGCTCCTTCCTGCCTCTCAGGCCCAGCTGCTGCCAGTCTGTCTTTTCGGGGTGTGCCCTCCTTCCTCCCCTCTTTCCCACCTGCACCCTGACCAGACAGGACAGCCACTGGGGTTCTGTGTGACGTAAGAGAAAAGCCCAGCGTAGCCAGCACGGCTTGCATGCCAGGGAAAATTCTCGGCCCGTTCTTGAGTGAGCGAGCATCCCTGGGTGGGCGGGGAAGCCTTGATCAGGGCCAGGCCAGGTCTCTCGGTTGGTCCCGTCTGCAGGGGTGAGGCCGGGGCAGTGGTTTCTTCTCGGGACTTCCTCCTTCCACACCTGGGGCCGTAGCATCCTGGGAGGAGAAAGGTCATCAGAGATTTGGTAAAGGTGGTAGAGAGCTTTATTAGGCGAGTAGATCAGCGAGGTGTGTATGGGACGAATGAGCAGGAGAGAGAGGGAAAGAGAGGAAAAGGAGGAGGGAGTCCAGCCCCCATGGGATAGACCATAAATGCAGGCAGATGGGAACAGCCACCATTCCCCACAGGACCGGGTGAGAGGGTTTGTGGGTCCAGGCTGGGCCCCCGCTGCAGGCTGTGGCTCCCCCAGGCTGGGGAGCCCTGAGCCTTGACCCGCGTCTTCTTCTCCTCCCAGGAGATGTGCCCTGGGACCTGGAGAGCCCGCCCGTGTGCCTGACGGTGGGGCCAGGGCCCATCCGCACGCTGCTGAGCCTGGAGGACGCCGTGTGGGCCAGCTGTGGGCCTCGGGTCACCGTCCTGGACACCACCAGCCTGCAGACTCAGGTACTGGCCGTTCCTCACGGCTCGTGGCTCCTGCCCCCGGGGCCATCAGCTGGGCACGCCCTTGCTGACCCTTCTGACCTTCTCGCTGGCACGGCTCTCAGCTCCTGTCCGTGTGTCAGGGACCAGTTTGTCAGAAAGCAGAGGGGGACCTTCAATCCCTGCTGGGCCCTGCCCTCTGCCCCCACACGCATCCCCAGGGCTGCCGTGAGGGGAAGGGTCCCGGCGACACTGAGCCGTGACCTGCATCCTGAGTCGTGGCTCTTGCTGCCAGTGGAGGTGCCTGTTGTCGCTCTGGTGCCCAGGACCCAGCTAGGCTGAGGGGTCAGCCTGTGTGGGCACCGCCACCTGGAGGCCGGAGGCAGAATGGAAACTGAGAGGTGTTTCTAGAAGGATCTTCCAGGGAAGGGACCGGTGGAAGCCACAAGCCTGCGGGGGCAGAGAAGCTGGCTGTGGGTTGTTGGGGCGGGGTTTGGGCAGCAGGGCCTGAGGATCTGGGGAAAGCTGGCACCCCTCGGCCCCTCCCAGGGCCACACAGCCTTTTGGAGGGAGTGGAAGTAGGAGGCACCCATCCCTGTCCTGGCTGTGCCCCATGCGGGCCTGCTGGGCGGCCCTCCCTTGAGGGGTGCGGTTGGCCAGCAGCTGCTTCAGACGGGACCCTGGCTCTGCCCTGCGAGGGTGTCAGCCCTTGGACAAGGCACTGAGCCTTCCTGGGCCTCAGTCACTTCATCTGTAAAATGGGGTGATGGTGCAGAGCGACCTAAGGAGTGAGTGAGGATGTTTATGCAGAAGGACTGTTTCACACACACAGTGCCTGATGCAGAGTAAGTGTCCTATGGACACTTGTTATCACTGTGCCTGTTTGCTTAAATGAAATCCTCATCGCCACAGCGCGTGGCTTACGTGGAAAATCACGCTGCTTCCCGAGAGTCCGTGCTGGTGGGCGTGTGTCCGTATTGCATTGCAGGTCCGCCATCCTCTCCCTTCTCTGGCAGGAATGCTTCCTCCTGCTGACAGCTGCCTAGGGGCGGAGACAGATGGACCAAGGGAAGCACAGGGGCCTGGGCCAGGCCGGGCCCTGCCCAGCTCTCGTCCCATTCTGCCCCTCACCAGTCACGGTACTGTTCTGCCCAGGCCCGGCACCTCAGCCCTGGCCCCGCCCTCCCTGTCGCAGGCGGCCGGCCACCAGGCTGCAACTCGAGGCCAGGCGATTTAAGATGAGCTCCGGGCCAGCTACCCTTAGAAAGGGATCACTCTGGCCTTTAACCTGGTTTGCACACCTCGGAGGGTGTCGGAAAGCGCTGGCTGGGGGAGGCGGGTGGAGGAGAGGGTGGGGGAGGCGGGAGCACGTGCCCGGTCTGCAGCCAGGGAAATGGCAAAGTTTGTGTGGGCAGCTCGCCTCCAGCACACACGGTCCTCGGGCACGGGAGCAAGGTGATGGCCGTGCATGTTCAATGCAGCCGCGCTCCGCTGCCGCCTGTGATAGAGAGGGAGCCTCCCGCCCTCGCGCCCGGCTCGGAAACAGCTTGGCCTGGAGCTGCTGATGGCCTCCCATCTGCATGGCTGCTCCACAGTGGCCTCCCTGTTCATCTCGTCTCGTCTTGGTGCCTCGCACGGCTGGCCAGGCTGGGAGGAGGGGGCTGGAGGTGGCGTTGCTGTCTGGGCTGCCGTGGCCTCGTGTGGGTGCCCAGGGCTCAGCACATGCAGGAAGGAAAGGGCCCGTGTGTGAGCTTTGCAGCCAAATGCCTCACTTCAGAGTGAGGGCACTGCTTACCAATTTCTCCCCTACACCCCGCCTTGCCCTCCGGGTCCAGAAACCTGCATTTAATGCTGCTCGGGGCTCCATGCCTGCAGGAGTGTATTGTTGACCGAGGCTGTGGCTCTGGCCCACATTCCTACCTGTAAGGGGGTCATCTAGGGAGTGTGTTCTCTCTAAGGAGTAGGGGGGGACCAAAATCTAAAATCCAGCCTAAATCTCGGGCTGAATGGTTTACTGAACAGTCATAAACTGTCATTGTGATGGAAACGCAGCGGAGTGCAGTGATGACAGCGCAGTGCGGGCCACATTGCAAGGCCTGGCGGGACGGATTTGGCCCGCGGGCCTTGTGTTTGACACATGTGCTCTAAGGAGTTCTCCCAGGTTTCTCTCATCCCCAGGAGGCAATAGCAACCAGCACATACTGAGTTCTTCACGTGGACCATTTAGGGGTTTCAGTGCTTTGCATGAATTAGCTTATTTCATCACCAGATCACTATCTGAGATTAGTACTCTCATTACTCCCATGTTACAGATGAGGAAATAGGCACAGAGAGGTTAAGTGGCTTGCCCAAGGTCACACAGCTAGAGGGAGGCTGCTCTTACCCTTTGTGCTGGCTTCCCTGGAAGGCTAAGGCTCCGCCCCCTTTGGGCCGGCCTGTCCCCTGCAGCTTCTGTCCCATCATATGTGACCTCCCGGAGCTCTCATTGGTTCACACACCTGCTTTTCCCACCAACACGTCTTCCGGGCCCAGGATTGCTCACACGGCTGGTGCACCAGGAAGGGTTGTGGAAAACAGGCAGGTGGTCCCCTTTCTGTGTGGGCAGGCCCCCTGGGGGGAAAGAGGGGCTGGTGGGACTGTGCCGTGACGCCGTGACCATTCCTTCTGGGTGGAAGGTGGGTCATCGGCAGGAGGAGGCTCAGGGTGCCGGCCGGTGGGAGAAGTGTCCTGGGAGGAAGGGTGCCTTCCTGGGAGCGGGACAGAGGCCGCACCTGGAGACGGCGGAAGGAATTTGGTAAAGGGCTGGGCAGAGGGTCTTGTTCTCAGGGTCCTGCTCCGGGGCAGGTGGGACATATGTGGGTGGGACAGCCGGTCACCCAGAGGTCTCTCCTCTGACCTGCCAGCCCTGGGAGGCGTCCATGGCAGTCCCTTTCCCAGAGCCTCTCGGGGGCTCCCGGTGCTGCCTGGGAAGGGCCAGAACTCAGGCAGGTGGCGCCGTGTTTGGGGATCCGGCCTGGCTCCCGCCCACAGGGTTGTTGTGAGGGTTAATAGGGGCAGCCTCTCCCATAAGACCTGGTTCCTCACCCTGGAGAAGCCTGTGCAGACCCCCATCTCCCCTTCACACAACCCACTCCCCCTCCCTCTGCAGGACATGCCTGGCGCATCGCGGGTGCTCATTGCGGGGCTGTGAAGGACAGAGGGCTTTGACCTCAGGGAAGTGGGCTCTGTCTGGGGGGTGGGGGGTGGGGAGGTGGAGGAATGGGGGGAGGTTCGCTAAGTGGAAGGAAGATGTGGGCAGAGCAGTTGATTTTAACTGGGCTGCGGGGACACATGCCTCCCATTGGCACCCGGGCCCCAGTGCCTGCTGTCACTGAGCACATCAGATGAGAAACTCCTCCGGGTTCCGGGGCACTAACGGCCCTCAGACTGCCCCCTGCCCACCCCCACGTCCACGCCTTCCCCACCCTTAATTTTCATGTTTAGTGCCCAAACTTAGTTTGCATGTATTAGCTGTTGTAAATCTATCATAACACAGAGGTGCAGCATGAATAATGCATCACGGGGCTGTATTAGTTTTCTGTCTCCTATCTTATTTATGACACGAAACGGGTGGGAATTTGCAAAAGCGAAATCCTGGCGCAAGGCTTCTTGGGTAATGGTATGCAAATTGACGTGAGGGCGGAAAGATCCACTAACTAAGTCCTTGGTGCTGGCCCCGCCTTCGGCCGGCAGAGCCTGTGGGTCGGGTCACCTCCCTCCAGGGAGTCATCCAGTTCAGCAGTTCTGCCTTAATGCTCTTTCTTTTTCGGTGTGTGTCTCGTTGTTATTGCTGTCATCCTTTTCTTTTCTTTTTTTCCAAATTACAAGTTGGCAGGTTAGACTTGAGAAATCGATTTTTCTAAAGGTTGCGGAGACTTCCCTGGAGGCTCCGACAGTAACGAGTTCCAGGAGGGTGAGTGGCTGCCAGCAGCATGAAGAATGGAGGTTAGATGCTCAGAAGAACTTCCTTTCAGGGTGCTTGTGAAGGACAGGGTGTGGGGGTGGGTTTGGGGGTCCTGGGGGCTCAGGATTGTGGTTGCCGACTCAGCTCCTGGGCATGGGTGTCTCAGGGCACTCCCTGAGGGGCTGGGGGTGGCTAAGTGCAGGCCCCAGACCCCTTCTCTCCTTGTCCGGAAGAGCTCAGGCCTTATACCCAATATTAGGCCCCCAGCCCCCAGTCCCCGAAGATGTATGCTGATGTAAGGATTTCGTGGTTTGAAGCTGTTGGCTCAGGAACAAGTCCCGTGAAGCCAGAGGAGAAAAGGGAGAGAGCAAGGGAAGGCCGGTGGTGGGGACATTGTGCAGAGAATGGCCGGGGGAGGGAACATTGTGCAGAGAATGGCCGGGGGAGGGGACATTGTGCAGAGAATGGCCGGGGGAGGGGACATTGTGCAGAGAATGGCCAGGGGAGGGGTGTTGTAGGGGTGGGGAGGGGGGCAGCGGCTGGAGGTGAGTGCGGGGCAGACGATGGCAGCAGGTGTCAGTCCTCTTCCTTCTTGGCCCCCTGGCTGTCAGGGGCTGTCTGTCCTTCCCTCCACGTGGCTCCTCCCCGTCCGCCCACCTCTGCACGGTCACGCTTCCTCCGAGCGCTGCTGAGGGGTCGGAGAGGACAGACCCAAGCGAGCAGCCGCCCAGCCCCCTGGCACTGGCAGGGACACACAGGGCCAGGCACAGACCCACTGGGTGCCGGGCCCTGGGCTGGGCCCTCATATGTGTGTTTTCTCAGCGGGGGAAGTTTGTAAGAACAAGGCAGACAAAGAAAGGGATGGCGCCTGCCCAGTGCGCAGCTGGAGAGAGACTTCCGGCTGACGGAGTTACTCCACACCGCTGGTTCTGGAAGCTTCCGTGTCCCGCCCATTAGATGAGGATGGACTGGTGGTGTGGGTGTCAGGTGGAGGCGGAGTTGTTGAGCTTCTGTGGCTGGTCTCCGGGCCCCGGATGGTGCCTCCTAGGCCAGCAGGGGTGGTGAGCCCCTTCGCACTACACCCCGCCAGGGTTCCGGGCCTGAGGGTGCTGGGGAGATCACTGAGCATGGGTCCATGCCCAGCTCTGCCCTGGCCTGTGGGTCACCCGGCTCATCCTGTCCCCTTTCTGGGCGCGTCCCCCTCCTGTCATAAGGGTCTCTGTGAGGACGGACTGCTGCAGCCTGGGAAGAGCCTGACGCATGGTGGGAGGCCAACAAGCAGAGCTGCCTTTGCCTCAGCCTTTCTTCCCGGCTCCTTGCATCCTCTGCGCGCTAATGACTCTGAATTCTGAGCCGCTCACTGGGAATTTCTAGAAACCAAGCACAGAGCGTCACCTGGAGGCACATAAATATTGCACGACCGGAGGCCGGGCTGTGTCAGCACTATTTGGGCCATTTCACTCACCGAAGCCTCTGCAGTGCCTGTGGGGGCTGCCCTGCGGCTGCAGGGACAGGGAAGGGGCCAGGGCACCGTGAGCGGGTGCAGGACACCTGGTTTGTTCCCGTCTCCCCCACCGGCTCCTGACTGCTGCCAGTATGCTCGGAGCACCTCCCAGCACCTCCCAGCACCTCCCAGTACCATGGACAGAGAGAGGGGACCCCCGCCCTGGCCAGGGATGAGCTGGGAGCCCTGGGAGCTGGTGGCAGGCCCAGGCCTCCCCTCCGGCGGCCAGCTTTTAACCTTTTTTAAATAACTGCCTTCCCCACTCAACTTTTTATTAAAAAAAATTAAAACTACCGGAAAGTTGAATGAATAGTACAATGAGCACACATGTGTTCTTCACCTATTAAGCCAGCTAACATTTTGTCACAGTACCTTACACCCCCAAATTATGCATATACAGCCCCACCCCCCTTTTGGGATAAACCGCTTAAAAGTGAGTTGTAGGCATCATTACCCAGCACATGCAAATACTTGAGCATGGCTCCCCTGTGACTTCAGCAGCATTTATCGTACCCAGAAACCTGACATCAACGTACAGTAGGTCCTTGGGTTACGTCAGAGATCTGTTCCTAGGGTGCCACGTAATGTGATGTTTGCCATAAGTCGGAACCCCCTTACATAAGCGCCCACATCACGTGGACCACACATACAGCAGTGATGAAGTGAAACAGTAAAAACAAACAAACAAAAAATTAAAAGGAAGATAACAACTCCTGACCTTTTTGCTTGTGGTAAATAATTAATAAAAAACATAAAACACATAGGTACATATGTTGAAACGATGGAACTTTTTTTTTTTTTTAAGTAAATAAATGGGAGTTGGCCACATAACCACAAAACGACGTACTTCGAGTCCGACGTAACCCGAGGACGGCCTGAGCTGTCCATATGCACATTTTCACCAACACATCCTTCCTAGCTCCTCCCCAGCCCCGCCCAGGATCCAGCAAGGGCCGCATGTTGCATTTGGTTGTCATGTCTCTTCAGTCTCCCTTTGATCAGGAATAATCCCTTTGCGAGCCCACGTGTTTATGTGTGTGTGTGTGTGTGTGTGTGTGTCCATGATATGGACTTTTTTGAGATCTAAGCCAGTGTCTTTTAAAAAGTCCCATAATCTGGAATTGCCCAGGTGTTTCCTCGTGATGAGATCTGAGTAGCCGGATGCTTGGCCAGATGTGACTTCCTGTCACATCACCCAAGGAGGCGGGACATACAGGCCGGCCCCCTTCTTGATCCAGGGGGGTTCGCCAGGCCTCCCCATCATAAAGGTACCAGATTCCCATTGTCATGTAAGGTCACCCGCAGGTGATTCTTGGAGAAGTTGTGCATATACTGTTCCTCAGCAGCCCCTCCCCTTTAATTATCGTTACCACTACTGCTACCAATTCGTAGGCTCATTTCAAAGCCCCCACTCCTGGGCCCCCAATACCACTAGGGGTCAGAGGAGGCATCTAGAGGTGAGAAATGGGAGCCATGACCTGAGTTGGGGTGCCAGGTGGGCCTGGTGGGGAGGAAAGGAGAGGCCCCCCCTTGAATGGAGATGCCCCCCTGCCCTTGGTGAACTTCCTGTCTGAGGGGTGAGCTGCAGAACCCTGCCTCCCGAGAGCACCCCATCTCCCCCAGCCAGGACGCAGAGCCCGCCATCAGGGACTGGCTTAGAAAAAGCAATTTCGCTGGCCGTCTCCAAGTCTTACCCTTCTGGGTCCTGCACTTGGATCAGGAATGAGATCAGGAACGAGCTTTGAGTTGATTGCCTCGGTTCCCTGTGGAGGACCCCGGAGGCACCCCCCCCCCCCCCCAGCTTCTTTGTCTCCATGGGAAACCTCTTGGTGATTGGAGACGGGACGGAGTTGGGCTGAGGCTCTGGTTAGAGTGACTGCAGCAAAACAAGCCGAGTCTGTTCCTGCCGCTTCCTGTTCACCAAGCTCACGCGAGGCCCGGGATTCCAGGCTCCTGCCACACACGGCTGATGGACTGAGCCCCTTCCCAAGGTGAACCCGGTCATGTCACTTACCGGCTCAGCCCCCTTCAGCACTTACAATCAACCTGTGGATTTTTAAAAAATACATATTTTATTGATTTTTTTACAGAGAGGATGGGAGAGGGATAGAGAGTTAGAAACATCCATCAGCTGCCTCCTGCACACCCCCTGCTGGGGATGTGCCCAAAACCAAGGTACATGCCCTTGACTGGAATCGAACCCGGGACCCTTCAGTGCTCAGGCCGACGCTCTATCCACTGAGCTAAACCGGTTAGGGCTTCACTATGGATGTTAAGGTGGCCCTGCCTACCTCTCCCACCTCTGTCTTAGCACTGTGCTCCCCACTTTTGAGAAACACCTTCCTGTTTCTCAAACACGGCAAGCTCATTCCTGCCCCAGGGCCTTTGCACCTCCTGTGCTTTCTGCCTGGAATGCTCTCCCCGCCCTCACCCCATTATCCCACGGCTGATGCCTTCACATTTGTAATGTCCCTGATTAAATGCCTCCTAGAGAGACCTTCCCTGGCCACCCAACCTTAACGGCTCCCCACCTTTTTTTCTGTGCAGTGGCTTTAATTACTTGGAGTCATCGTTACCTGTCTATTTGTTTCACGGGTCTCTGCACTGGGAGCACACACTCCATGGGAGCTCCTTGGTCATCCCATTCATCGTCACCTTCCCAGCCCAAGCACATAGTAGGAGCTCAAGAACATCTGCTGAACGAATGAGACCATATTAGGAACTCCCCCTCACCCAGGTCCCTGTAATCCTCATGACAACTTCCTCTTACAGATGGGAAACTGAGGCGCAGGCCTGTGAACTTACTGAGGAAGGGAGCTCTCACAGCAGGTCTGATAGCAAATACATGTTCTGTCCAACATCTTCCTGCAGTCTCGGGCTTCTGTTCTCTTTACAGAGGAAGTGGAAAGGAGGAAGCTCACCGGGCCCTGCCCCGGACTAGCCCTCCGGGGTCAGGTTTCTCCTCCCCTGCACTTCTTCCTCCCTCATTGTTTCTGCACATACTGCTCTGCCATTCACACTCTCCTATGCTCTTTCCACGGTCTCTGTAAAACGTCTTGAATGGGTGTGGAACAGTCCACCGAGTGGGTACGCCAGAGTTCCCTGACTGTCCCACTGACTGGGCACTTAGGTTGTTTCCGGTCCGCTGTGCTGGAGTCGTCCGCCTTTGAGCAGCATCTGGATGTTGTAGATGAGGCTCAAGGGTCCGTCTGCTCACTCTGTGACCACGTTTTACTGTGTGCTGGTCCCTGTGCTGAGCAGGGGGTCCTGATGGGCCTGAGGCTCAGTGTCTGCTGTTGGAGATCATAGTCCAGGTCAGGAGGTGCTGAGCAGACACAGGGCAGTGTAGGTGACACAGGGCGGCGTAGGTGTCACGAGGTCGGACAGAGGAGAACCGCATGCAGAAGGTGGTCTGGTGCAAGGGCGGTCGGGGTACTTCATGGAAGAGGAGCATCCTCCCGAGGGGGCGTTCAGGTGCTGAAAGGCTGTTGCTAGGAGGGCACTGGGTGATGCACACAGCACATGGGTCACCGTGAGGGCGGAGGCCTGGCAGCATGGTTTCTCCTGAGTCTCACACTGGCTCGGGTGGGCCTGGCGTGGAGGGAGCCTGCCAGGGCAGAGCTGAGGCAGAGGCAGGCAGAGTGCAGTGGATGGGAATCCTGATTGTCCTCTCTCTCTTAAAAAAACCGGTTTTCTTTAAAAGACCAAAATTATACACACACCTATTTAAAAAAAAATCAAGCAGCATAGAATGGTTCATCCCCAGCTCCCTTCCTGGGAGAAAATACTTGCCACCTGTTTCGTTTCTGTTTTTAATTCACCTGGCATGACTGGACCTTGTCTGCCTTGCTGGTCCCTGGCTTATCAGTTTTGGACATTCTGTGTTGCCTCCCCGCTGTGAAAGGTGAGGATTTGGCTCACAGCACCCACCCCTCTTCCCAGTCGTTGTATTGGTTGCCTTTGCAGCTTCAGACAATATGTCAGCGGCTGCTTCCTTCCACTGCCTTTAGTTCTTTCTCTCCTGTCACAGTGGCATGCTGGAGCCTGGTCCTGTCCACTCCTAAGAGCCTGGTGTGTGTGACTTCCTCCCTGCTCCTTGTTTAGTGATGTCGTGTGGGTAGCTCGAGATTGGCCCTGTGGGAAGTATTTACACCATGGGAATTGGCAGACACGACACACCCAGGGTACCTCTGCCTGTGAAACAATTACCAACACGCCACTGCTGGGCTCCTGGGGTTTCCTTCCAGCCTCCGCTGGTTCAGGCAGAGGCCAGAGTAGCATGGCCCCCCAGGTGTCGGGCTGGCCCAGCACCCACACCCCCACTCTGCCCGCAGCAAAGCTTCGAGGCGCACCAGGATGAGGCTGTGAGCGTGACGCACATGGTGAAGGCGGGCAGCGGCGTCTGGATGGCCTTCTCCTCCGGCTCCTCCATCCGCCTCTTCCACACGGAGACGCTGGAGCACCTGCAGGAGATCAACATCGCCACCAGGACCACCTTCCTCCTGCCAGGTGAGATTGCGGGGCCTCGGCCCGGGCCTGCGGAGGGAGGGCGCTGACACTGGCAGCCGGCAGAGGTGCATCCTGCCCAGCCCATCTCATTAACCTTGTGGGAGCCTGGGGTCAGCCTGGGTGGGTTTAGAATTCGAGCCCAGGACTGTTCTTTTAAAGCCCCGCTCGCCGTCACCACGTGGCCCCTCACCCTGCAGCACCGGGGGTGGGAGGGGAGGGAAGGGAGGGTTCACAGGAAGTGAGGCTCCCAGCTCAGCGGAACCCCCCAAGCCAGGCAGCTGCTAAAAAGCCACCCTGTGTGGGAACCAGGCCTGCCTACACCTGCCACTCCTCAGGCAGACAAAGAACCAATTCTGCCTCGAATCTCCTTCAGGATGAGGTGAAGCGGGAGAGCGAGGGCTCTTCTCTTAGGGGTTTTTCTAAGAAAGGCAGCTGTCCCTTTAAGTGCCCTGGCCAGGCTGGGAGGTGGGTTTGGACAGCACCCCTGGGAGCCTGTGCTTTCTGCTGCAGAGCTGTTGGTGAGAGGTGATGGAGAGGATTCATGTTGGAGAGCCCCTAACCGCTGCCCCATATCTGTCTGAGGCTCCAGTGGAATTGGCTCCAGGTAGCAGCTCCCTTACCATCTGCTATCCAGGCTGCCGCCCAGACCCCCACCGGCTGTGCTGGGAAAGCCAGGGCGGCCACCTGCTCAGGGCCCAATCCTGCCCACAGCGGGCCTCAGAGCAGACCACAGAGCCAGCGGCAGCAGCCTGCCTTGCCTCCCTGCCTGGCCCAGCTTCCACCAGACAGGCCGACTGGCCAGCGCTGGTCCGGGAGGAGGAAGAAGCTCCGTCTTGCCCAAGCACTGCAGGCTCAGCTGGTCTTAGCAGCCGGGGCCCTGGGGCCGGGGACAGAGCAGGCATGGCAGGTTGAGGGCCTGGTGCCAGTTGTTACCAGGACTCGGCAGATGGCCTACAGCATCGCTAAAAGCAGCTGAGCCCGCAGACTGACCTCCCGTTGTGTGAGGCTGGGCTAAGCCAGCACTTTGAGGGCCATGGGAGCCTGCTTACCCTAGAGGCCTGGTTCCTGACCCCACATGGGAGCGCTTGGAAATCACCCTGGCCCCTGCTTCCTCCCAGCTGGTTGAGACTGCCCTTGACTTGTGGCCACAACAAGATCAACAACAAACAGCGATAGTATGTGATTAACTACCACCCCGCCATGAGCCCTACTGTGAGCGAGGTCCCGGGCGCTTTACCTACAGGATCTCACTCCATCTTAACCCCACGAGGTGCGGGTTGTCCCCGCTGTGCAGATGCAGAAACTGAGGTTTGTTCAGCAGGTCAGGAGGCTGGTCTGTGGTCATGCCGCCTGACCTCTGGGTTCCTCTAAAGTCATCCCTCCCCGCATTACACACAGTGGGACTCTGAAGTGAGTCTGACCTCTTCAGGTCAGAGTCCTGGCTCAATGACGTAGGGTCTTGGGCAAGTCTCTTTGCCTCCCGGAACCTCTGGTTCCTCTATGGCAGTGTTTTTCAACCTTTTTTGGGCAAAGGCACACTTGTTTCATGAAAAAAATCACGAGGCACACCACCATTAGAAAATGTTAAAAAATTTAACTCTGTGCCTATATTGACTATATATAAAGTAATTCTCTTGAATAGGAATCAAATAAACACAAAGAAAGTATTTTATAATTACTTTATTATGAAATATTAAGTAAACAAAATAGTGAAAAATTATAAAATTCTTGTCTTGTCTGCACCTACGGCACACCAGGCAATAGTGTGCCGCGGAACAGCGGTTGAAAAACGCTGCTCTATGGGACTGGAGGGGGTTCCAGGCTCCTGGTAAATGCCATCAGATGTGGGAAGACACCTTGCCCAGACCTGGGGTGTGGTGGGTACACCCGGAGAAGAAATGCCCCCAACATGTTCCCTGGGGTATGGGAGGGGCTTGCGGGGCCCAAGTTATAGGTCTTTAAAAAAAAAAATTTATTGATTTTTCACAGAGAGGAAGAGAGAGGGATAGGGAGTTAGAAACATCAATGAGAGAGAATCATGGATTAGCTGCCTTCTGCACACCCCCCCTACTGGGGATGTGCCGGCAACCAAGGTACATGCCCTTGACCGGAATCGAACCTGCAACCTTTCAGTTGCAGGCCGACGCTCTATGCACTGAGCCAAACCGGTTTCAGCTGGGTCTTTTTCTTTTGCAGCTTTATTTTACTTTTTGCATTTCACTGGATTTAGCCATTTTACAAAGTAAATCCATTTAGCTGTGATAGATGTGTCTCTGTATCACAAAATATTCCCCCACTCATGCTGATGGTTAAATTATTTCAAGTTAGTGGGATAAGGAGGAAATCGCCCAATCTCTGGGCCGTTCTGATCTTGTCAATCTCATCTGTGGGAGCGGGGAGAGGGAGAGGAAGAGTCACGGTTACCGGGCCTGGAGGTGGATTCGTGGGCGGATTGGCTGCAGGTGGAAAAACCCCAGCTCCATGCCGCACCCGGCTCACGATGGACGTTCAAAACTCGTGCCCATGCCCCCTGGCTGAGCTGCTGGTTACACTTGCCCCTCAAAGACAGGAGAGCATTCATCATGGTGATGGCTATTTCGGAGCCAGGTAAAATGAGGCCCGGGAGATTAAGCAACTGGCCCAAGGTCACGCTGCTGACGAGGCCGGAGCCAGGGCGAGAATCGCAGCTCTCTCACTGACTTACTGTGCCGTCCCCCTTCCTGGGCCTCAGTTTCCCCATCTGTACGATGAGGGGCCGGGATTTGAGGTAGAGCTTGCCCATGCCGGATAGGGCAGCCCAGAACCTGGAGTCGGGCAGGCCCCGCTGGGATCCTGGCTCTGCCACGTTGCAGCCCTGGGCCTGGGAGCGGGTGGGGGGCCGCTCTGATCTTTGGGTCCCACCTCTCAGGGAGGTGTGGGCCTGAGACGATGCAGCCTCTGGCTTGAGTAAGTCTCAGTCCCCGATGGTGCTGTGCACGGTCATCAGCTCCAGCACGTCTCCTTGGCCATCCCCCTCCCTGGTCACACTGGCTGCTGTGGCCATGCATCTCCCAAGGGGCTCCTTGCTCACCCCCACCCTCCGAGTCCATGCCCTTCCCACCTCATCGGCTACATCAGAGCAGACAGAACCACCCCTACACGTACAGGACCTCTTTGGGGCTGGGCCCTGGGCACATCTGGGATAGAGGCTGAGGTTCCTGGGTACAGAGCTTCCCAAAGGTTACTGCCCTGGACCTGACTGTTCCTACACCACACTGAGACCCCCCATACCCGAGGGCCTCACACAGAGGGATGCTGGGCCCAAGCTAGCACGGGTAGAGGGCGGCTTCACATCTACCCACCGAAAGAACAACAGAGCAGAACGCTTACGTTCCTTATTAGAAATATTTAGAGAAGACTTTTAACTATTTTCTCTTCGCCCGCACCATCAAGTGAAGTAATTGCATAATTAGCCATACATTTGTTCCTCCTTTGCGCGTGGATTTCTTTAAGGGGACATAAAATATTTATCAACACTTCCGCCGCCCCGACCCCTGTCTTCTCCTCGGCACCCGCCTGGTATTAATGCATTTTTGGGGGCCTAAATTCCCTCCTCCTCTTAACTAGACAGGTCATTAATAAAATGTTCTCCGAGAGCCCGAGCTTTTTAAAGTTGCATATCTCCAGATAGATGGCCCGGGCGAGCTGCACACTGCTGCATTAAGTCTCTGTGATAAAATATTTATCCACCATTAGAATTTTTTTTTTCTCTCTCTCTCTCTCTCTCGGACTGTTTGTGAGGTGCCTCGCTCTTTCCCTCGAGGCGGAGGGGGAGGAGGCAGGGCCCCGGAATGAGGTCTGATGATGAAGTCATTTCTCAATTCCGGCATCTCTTTTGGCTTCTCGCTGCCTTCCTTTCGCTCTCTGGGTTTCTGCTATGGGAACAGGGGCTTGGGGGGAGGGGGGGGCGGGCGGGAGGATGCAGGGGCATCAGGAAACGGCCTCCTTCTGGTCTTCAGGCTCCCGGGGCCCCGGAAAAGGAGGTGAGAGATGAAAGATTTGCCACTGTTTCCTCGCTTGGCTTTATCGTTTCTGTGGGTTTATGGCTCTGCTGGAGCTGGTCTGAAGACTGTAGGTCCTTTTAATAATTATAGCCGTTCTCCTAATAGCCTGCCTTTATTGATTGTGTACCGGGCTAAGAGCTGTGCTCAACTGTGTATATATATTATCTCCATATAGGCTGTATATTTAGTACATGTATGTTTCTAATAATCATAAAATTGAGTAAGGTAGGTTTGTAATAGTCGTTGATCAGTGAAAGTGACGTGTTAATTCACACAGTTAATCAGTGACATCAGCACCCGTTTCCTTTTTCACTTTCCTATATTTTTCATTCATTCATTTATTCATTCACCTGCCCATTTACTCATAGATACTTTCTGAGTGTCTGCCATGGGCCATGGTACTGGGAATGGACCTTGGGCATGGATAGGCCTCTGCCCTCATGCAGCTTGTATTTGGGACAGCGGACAGGAAATAAGGAGAGGGAAGAAGAGGGTCGTTACAGGCCTTGGCCAGGGCCAGGAGGGAAGACAGTCGGTACGGGAGGGAGCTGGTAGCCTGAGCCTGTTGCTCGGACTTCCTGAGGGCCGGAGTGGGACCGGAGGTGTCCTGTCCTGGTAGTTGACATGGGTGTGAGGCAGTATCCCGGCTCCACGGACACGCAGATGCTGCGTGTGAAATAAATAGCGCCTGCCGTCAAGTGATGAACTGGCTTTTCTCGGTGTGGTTTGCATTTCCACATTGAATCAATACTATGAATATGACTTTTTGAGTTTGCTTCGTTTCGCCAGACTCATACATCTCCCTGCCCACTGACAGCTCCATTTGGCTGTCCAACGAGCATCTCAAGCAGCACATCCGGCGGAGAACTTGGACTTCCACCCCACGCCCGCACCTCCCCCATCTCCGTTGGGCCAGGGACTGCAGGGAGGAAGGTCCATGCTGGCAGCATGTCCAGCCCGGGCTGGAAAGTTAGGGCTGCAACAGCCTGTCAGTTTGCTTTGCTTCTCATATCCGCCCTGGCCCCTCCCATGCATCCAGTCTGCACCAACCTCTTCACCTCCAACCTGCACCTGCCCAGGCCTCCCTGGCTTTGCTCCCAGGCGGCTGCTGGTGACCCTGGTGTGGGCCCCTGGGCCTGCCTGGTGTGCCAGAGCACCCGGCCCCTCTACGTGGAAGCTCACAGGGGCCAGCACCGTGCTTGGTGGCGTTCCCTTGTTGCATCCTTGGAACAGCCCCAGGTTACAGAGAGGAAACTGAGGCTGGGTGAGGGAGCACTGGGCTCTCATGTCCAGGGGCTAGGCCCCAGCCAGGTCAGCCTCCCACGCCCCAGCTCTTAACCATACCGCGTCCAGCTTCTTGCTTACCTCACCGGAGGAGCCCGGGGGTACCACTTTCTCAATCTGAGGTGGCTCCCAGAGCCCACTGCTGCCCCCAGGGAGCATTCTGCTCACGCTCACCTCTCTCACTGCAGGCCAGAAGCACGTGTGTGTGACCAGCCTCCTGATCTGCCAGGGTCAGCTCTGGGTGGGCACCGACCAGGGTGTCATCGTCCTGCTGCCCGTGCCTCGGCTGGAAGGCATTCCCAAGATCACAGGTGAGGTTCTGGCAAAGTCTTGTCGGGGCCCAGGAATCAGCTGCAGAGGGAGGGGTATGATTAAGAGCCATGTGGAGCTCGAGCTGGGCTTCCATGATGTTACAGAATCAGGTGCGTGGGAAAGGCCCTGGAGATGGAGGCAATGGGTGGGCAAAGGCCCTGAGCCGTGCGGGTGGCTCAGGCAGGGAGCTGCAGGCGCCTTCACACCGAGGGTCCCCGGTGCTTTAGAAGGTTACTCTTGTCCTGCTTCACCCAAGAAAGTAGCCTGGAGCATGGGAGAGCCCTACCCCAGACCCATGGCCCCCTGGCAAGGTTCCAATATAGATTGCAGTTACAACCCCCCTAAACCCCACAATCAGAAAGTTCTCCTAAACGTGTGGGTGCCTTGCTTAAAGCTCTGGATCTTTGGCCCCTTCTCTCTGCCCCACGTCTGCAGGGAAAGGCATGGTCTCCCTCAACGGTCACTGCGGGCCTGTGACCTTCCTGGCCGTGGCTACCAGCATCTTGGCCCTGGACATCCTACGGACTGACCAGGAGGAGGCCGAGGGCCCCAAGGCCGAGGAGGACAAGCCGGACGGGCAGGCTCCCGAGCCAGCGCCCGCACCCTCCAGCCACGTGGGCAGGGAGCTGACGCACAAGAAGGGCGTTCTCCTGCAGTACCGGCTGCGCTCCACGGCCCACCTCCCCGGCCCGCTGCTCTCCATGCGGGAGCCCGCGCCCGACGGCTCCGCCCTGGAGCACAGCGAGGAGGACGGCTCCATCTACGAGATGGCCGACGACCCCGACGTCTGGGTGCGCAGCCGGCCGTGCGCCCGCGATGCCCACCGCAAGGAGATCTGCTCCGTGGCCATCATCTCGGGCGGGCAGGGCTACCGGAACTTCGGCAGTGCCTCGGGTGTGGGCGGGAGGCCCGCCCCCGGCGGGGAGTCGGACAGCACCCTCCTCATCTGGCAGGTGCCGCTGTTGACGCTATAGCCCCCCCCCAGGGAGCAGGGCTGCCGCCGCACCCTGCTCTTGGCCTGCGGGGGACCTTCGGCCGGCCAGGCCCCAGGGAGTGTGGGTGGAATTGCCTTCCAGGGACCTTCACAGGGCGTGTGGAGGGGCCTGGGTCTCTCGTAACCACCCAGGTGGACAGGCTGGGTCTCTCGTAACCACCCAGGTGGACAGGCTGGGTCTCTAGTTACTATCACAGGTGGATGGACCTGGGTCTCTACTAACTACCCAGGTGGACAGGCAGAGTGGAGGGGCCTGGGCCTCTAGTAACTACCCCAGGTGGGTGGGCCTGGGTCTCTCGTAACCACCCAGGTGGACAGGCTGGGTCTCTAGTTACTATCACAGGTGGATGGACCTGGGTCTCTAGTAACTAACCAGGTGGACAAGCTGGGTCTTTAGTAATCACCAGGTGGACAGGCTGAGTGGAGGGGCCTGGGCCTCTAGTAACTACCCCAGGTGGGTGGGCCTGGGTCTCTAGTAACCACCCAGGTGGACAAGCTGGGTATCTAGTAACTACTCCAGGTCGACAGGCTGGGTCTCTAGTAACTACCCATGTGGACAGGCTGGGTCTCTACTGACCATCCAGGTGGACAGGCCTGATCTCTGATAACTGTCTTGGCTGAGCAGAGGGAAACTCTTCCTTTTAAAACAAGATGAAATTTAGAGTTTGGGGGAGGGGCTTGGGTGTGTGGAGAGGGAAGACTCCTTTGGAGGAAATGGCCTTTTTTAAAACAAAACAAAACACAAAACCTCACAACTGCCTGGCAAGCCCAGCGCCTCTTGTTGGGCCAATGGGGCTCAGAGGCGGCCACGCGCCCCTCCTGGAAGGGCGTGAGCGTGTGCGTGTATGAGAGCGTGTGGGCTGGTGTGTGAATATATATAAATACGTATATATGGTGTATATTATCTGTGTATAAATAAAGTCTGTACATATTGGAGCTCTGGGAGATGCTGGAATAAAAGGCCAGAATAACATCGGTGCTTCGATTGGAGGGTTTTTCTTTTTGAGATGGGACACGGGGCGAGACCGAGAGCAGCTGCCTCTGGGTGGGGAGTGGGGAAGCCGGAGTGACCGTCCTCGGCAGGAGTGGCCGAGGCCCCGCACCGGAAGACCTGCCACAGGAGCAGCCCCAGGACTGCGCCGTTCCCTGTGGTGGCCATTGGTCACCGATGGCTACTTAATTTTTCAAATTAATTACAACTAACTTAAATGACAAATTCTCATCCCATTAGCTTGCAGAGCCCCACAGGTGAGTGCCGGCTGTCGGACAACAGGAGGTGGACAGGGCTGGGTCTCGAGTATCCTTTTCCACTTTCTGGAAAATTCCCTTCTGCTCGAGAAGGGCCTCTTGGAAGCTTCTTTACTGAAAATCTATAATAATAAAAGGACAATAAGCTAATTAAACCGGACATCCTTCTGGACAAAGTCGCAGTGGGCACGGGGAGGAGGGGGGCTGAGGCAGAGGCGGCAGAGGCCCCTGGCCGCGGTGGTGGCGGGCAGGGGCCCAGGCCAAGGCCCTTGCACAGATTTCATGCATTGGGCCCCAGTTCTGGAGGGTACGGAGGCAGGCCGCCTTGGCTCTGCCAACCTGGGAAGGAAGGAAGCTGGGGCTTCACCACATGGAAGGTTGGGTCTGGGTTGTTGCTATGGGCAACAGAGCAAGGCAAGGATGGGGCTGAGGCCCCTGAGTCTGAGGGAAGATGGGATGAGTGCTGGTGGAAGAGTATGTGGTAAGTGCTGCTGGTGGGAGCAGAGCACGGGCCGTGGGGGAATTGGCAGGTGGGGCTGCTCGGGGTCCTGGATTCCTTCTGGCTCCATCTCCATCCTTATATTCCTAGAGCTGCCTGCACGAAAAAATCCAAACCCAAACCCAAACCCACTGCCCAAAAGGGAAGTGTTTCCTCCACTTTCCCACCCTACCATCTCTGTCCTCTGTCCGAGAGTCTGTCCACCCACCTGCCCATCTGTTCTCTCTTCCACACTCACCAAGAGCGCCCCCCGCCCCCCAGGACAAGGGGGAAGGAGAGCAGGGCCCCGTGGACATGGGAGGCACACCTCCCACCTGGACCCTCCGAGAAGCTCGAAGCTCAGGGAAGTCAGCAAGAGGAGCCGGCGCGGAGAGGATGTTTCCCTGGGTCCTAACCACCTGGTGGGGCCGCGCTCCCGGGAGGAGCCAGTCTCACATCCACATCTTTTAAAAACCCCTGGAGCTTCTGCTAGATTCAGGCACCGTATTGGCTGCTGGGGGTCATGGAAGTGAGCAGGGCAGTGGCATCCTTGCCCCTAGGAAGTGCATGTTAGAGGGCAGGGCAGGCAGAAGTGCCAGCAGGTGTAGGCTTGGGGGCGGGGAGGGTGTGCCGAGAAAGGGGGAGGGCCTCTGGCAGGGGGCGGCCTATGGAAGATGGGGCGTGTAGCCTGTCTGGTGGGCTCCATTGCCAGAAGGCAAGCAGGGGCTGGGGGAGCTGTATATGCAGGAATCATGACCGTGGGCACTGCTGACCAATGACATTCCGTTCCCGCTGAACCCATCTTCTCCGAGCCTCAGTTTCCCAATTCGTATGAAAGGGCGACTCACTACTGTCCTGCCCACCTCTCACGGGAGGGGAGGGTCCTATCTAAGTACAAGTGGGACAAAGGGCATGGTGCTCGGGTCAGTTACCAAGTGCCCTGCAGGGTGGGGCTCCCACGGGTGCCTCTATCCCGTTCGTCAAGACTTTTCCTGGACCCTCCAAGTGACCAGTCCACTTGGGACAATGAGAAAGCCTGAAGCCTAGGATCCCGCAGGCCTGCATTCAAGGACAGCCCCGCCGAAGACCTGCCGCGTGTCTCCCAGCCTCAGTGTCCTCATCCCTAACACGGGACCAAGATACCTTGCAGTGGCCCTGGGCCCGTGGTGACCGGCCCATGGAAAGGGCCTGGAGCAGTCCTCCCAGGGCGGCGTTGTGATCATTCCCGACGTCATGGCAGTCACCTTGCTGTGCGCCGGCGGAGGCAGGCCGCTTCTGCTTAGACGTCTCTCCTTTGGCTCAGGAGCTGGCGTCTGAGAGCTCCGGGGGTCCGTTAGATCCCGAATCTGTGAATCTAATGGGCCCGTGACATCCATCACCAAGACAACGAGGACTTTGCTGCTTTAGTGAAATTATCAGATCGGGCGGCACTCATCTCTGAGTCTCTGACAACAGCAAGGGAGGACGGGGGCGTCAGAAAGGGCTCTGAGACGCACAGTGGTTGTGCCTTGTGCTGCTGGGAGGGGGCGCTGCTTTAGATGCGGATCAGAGTAACCATAACCATGGCACTCAGGCATGCCAGCTCATTTCCCACTCGGCCCCTCCTCACTCTGCAGGCGAGGAACCTGAGGCTCAGGGAGGGTAAGTAAATGCCCCGGGGAAGCATCAGGGCCAGGACTGAGGTCTGTCTGCCACCACAGTCAGACTTTTAGCCACCAGGGGAAGCCCCCTCCAAGAGCAAATCATCCCATTAGATAGCTGAACACCTTTGCTGGCCTGACACTACGCTCAAGTCACTGGGGATACAACATTGTCCCCGTGCTCCTCGAGAGACCCCCAGTCCAGCAAGCAGGCTGGTGGTGCCAAGGAGATGCAACCAAGGCAGGCTTCCTGGAGGCGGTGAGGTGTGGTGCACAAATGAGGACTTTGGAGTGATACAGATTTGGGTTTTAATCGTGGCTCTATCGCCTGTTTCCTGTGTGATAGAGCCTTAGACATGTGATGATCTGTGCCGCCGTGGCCTCCGCTGAATAAATTGTCCATGACGCCTTCCTTGCGGGGTGGCCGTGAGCACCCAGGAGGCGGTAGGTATCTGCTGTTACTATTACTACTACAACCCCTCACCTGGGGCTATTCCTATCAGCGTCATCTCAGTGACTTCTCGAAATTAACCAGAATGTGGAGACTGAGAGGATGCAGTAACCCAGGAGGGGGACGAGGACAGGGTGGGGGGTGGTCTGCAGTTCTCGGGAGGTCTGGTTCTGGAAGGGGCTGGGATTGTGTTCTGGCCCGAGCTGTCTTGGTCTGTTTTTAAGCCCTGAGCTTAGGAGGAGACCCCAGCTGACCCTCCCTGGAGCCAGAACCACGACAGGCTCCTGGGCACAGGCCTCTGGCCCTGGCCGAGGGGAACCAGCCCTCCTGCCACTACATGTTTTATGTGACTCTGTGAAAGCTCGGGGCACACACATAGAAGCCCAGGCACTGCCTGTCGTTCCGTGGGGGTGACCGAGCCTCCGAAGCCGGCGTTCTCGGGGGCATGTGTGTCCATGAGGGGCGTGGCCACATGGGGATGGAGTGTGAGCTTCAGCCACCGGCCAGGGGGATGCCAACAGCACTGACCCCACCGGTTCCCAGAGCCACCCACTGGGAACTTCCCAGTCTGATGGGAGAGGTCCCTGTTCTCAGGAAGCTCCCAGGCTGATGGAGGACTCAACCCCTCTCACCTGATTGGACAGGGAAGCTGCCAGTCTGATGGGGAGACATGGGTCTGCCCCTAAGGACCCTCACTCTGATTGGGGAGACCCAGCCTAACTCAGGCTCCCCTGAGTTTGCTGGGGAAGACGTAGCTTCTGCCTGGGAGGAGACCCTAGCCTGAGGGAGTCCCCTGGGGTGAAAAGGGGGATAAATCCTTTGCTCTTAGGGTGCTCCCCACCTAACACAGGAGATGGGACCCTCAACGTGAAGAGGCTTCATCCTAAGACTCTCGACAGAAACTTTTAAACGATGCAGACCTATTTCCAGCGCCGAACTACTCCCAGCTCCTCATTTACACTTTCCTGGAACCTGCAAATAGCAAGAATGTGTAAATTGAGGAAAATTAATATAATTACCTGAGCTATTTCTTGTCATCTTTCCGTGTCAACAGAAGCCACAAACCTTTCCTGGTGAGAAGCGGCTGGTTGCGGGCTCTGTTCCCGATGAGACAGCTGGCTCCTTCTCTGCGGGGAGCAGATTCCGGCGGGTGCACCCCGAGAGCTCTGGAAGCCGCCCGCCCGCCTGACAGATGGGCTGGGCTGCGTGGTGGAGAGGGCGCCCGGGCCCTGAGTCAGGGGACGTGGCTCGAGCTGTGGCACCAGGGTGTGGGTGAGCCACAGGTCCCTGAGCCTCTAGTCCAAACGCACTGAAGTCTTGCTGGGTCCAGGGACTGTGTTTGGTTAGTGAAGTATGACCCTGACCACCATGAACTGTCACACACCCATCCCCAGAGGAGGTGCCATTATTACCCCACTTTACAGATGAGGAAACCAAGGCTCAGGGAGGTGAAGTCACTTACTCAGTGTCACACAGCACAGAAGACCCTAGGGCTGTGGGTCTCAACACTGCCACCCCATTTCCCCGGACCCGACCCCTCCACTCTGCTGCCCAAGGACCCTGTGTGAGGACATGTGCCAGAACAAACCACAGGATGTTTGCAAACCGTGAGCATCGGTCTTCTCTCCTGGAATGTGGGGATGGTAACAGCATTGGCTGCCTGGGCTATTTTGAGGCTGAAATGAGTTAATTTATATTAAATAGTCGGAGCCGTTCCTGGCCCACAGGGAGCCCTCATTAACTTGATTATCATCACTCGCAGGAGCCCTGCCCGGGGCCTGTGCTTTGGATGCTCCTTGGTAGAGTGTTAAACGCCCAGGCACGCTGCGAAGCCCCGGGCGCCCCCAGAGAGGGAGAGGGCTCCCCCAGCGTGCGGACGCGGTGTTTGTGCAGAACCTCTAGCAGTTCTACTGGCTGAGGACTCACCCACGCCCGTGCCACTCAGCAAGGATTTGGGGAAATAAAGGCAAAGTGCAGGAAACACCATCGTGATGAATAGACGACTCATTGCGAGCTGTTAGTTGGATCCAGAAATAGATGGTGTAAACTTGCAGAAAACAGTGTTTGAGCAAGCAGAGTATGTTTCATTCATTCATTCATTCATTCATTCATTGTTCACTCATTCACCATTCCTTCACTCACGCACTCATTCTTCC